CCCTCCCTCCCTCCCTCGCTCAAAACAAGTCATTGTTGGAAAAAGCAATTTCAATACAATCATGGCTTAATATCAAATGTTCACCATGCTCCAAAGACAAATCATCTCAAACCAAAACCAAAACCAAAACCAAAACCAAAACCAAAACCAAAACCAAAACCAAAACCAAAACCAAAACCAAAACCAAAACCAAAACCAAAACCAAAACCAAAACCAAAACCAAAACCAAAACCAAAACCAAAACCAAAACCAAAACCAAAACCGAATGGAATGATTACTAACTTCACCTCTAAGAGCTTCCAATGCAACTTTTTTAATGTAACTCAAATGAGATTTTCTTCGCGCAAAAGTAAAATTGTAGATGCCCAATAGTTATTTTTTAATCAAACATGTAAAAATGCATTGACTCTTAATAAGACATAATGAAAAAAAATGATTCATGTAGCTAACTCTATGTAGTGGGATAAAAGGCTTAATAATATTGTTGTTATTATTGTATTGTTATGTAAAAATCATTTCAAACTATAGATCAAAAAAGAAGAAACCTAAAAACACCTGCACTTCCCACAATACTAATTTCATTAACCAAATAAGCACAATTCATGAACAAAAACCTTCTAAAAGCTACTTTGGTTGTTTGAATTTAGAAGACGTGTTAGACAGTTCCATTGGACCGATCTAGCCGGTCCATATCGGACAAGCCCGCGGGAACAGAGGCGGAAGATTTCCGCCTCTTCGGTATGCCATTCGAACCGCAGGAGCCAATCAAGCAGTTTAGGAAGGATTTTTGATGATTAGGAGTGAAATTTGAATGCAGGGACTGTTTAGGGATTTCCTTTTTGATTGTATGCATTAAATAGTTAATTTCCTAGGATTAGGACATCTTTAATTTGCCTGAAATTCGAAATCCCTTAGGTTTTTGGGCTCTAGCGGCGTTTAGAGATATGGGGGAAATAGATCCTCCTCTCGAATAGAGGATAATTGTATATTAGTATTTTCCGTTTCTATTTCATCAAATAATACAAATGATCTACTATTTTTTGGGGTTTTGTATGGATTCTTGCGGAGAATTTTTGCTGTGTTCCAAAAATTGATAGGAAATTCTTGAGATCTTCAAGTTTTTCCTATCAACATGTTTTATAATAAGATGAATTTCTTAGATTCCATTCTTTGGCTGGATGTACTTAGAATCAACATGAGGTTTACACTCTAAAAACACTTTCAAAATCCATCAAAGATGATAATTTTATTTTCACTCAAAACGAATGTAAACAATATCAATTTTTCTAAAAAACATATTTTCTAGCTACAACCAATTAAATGAGCCCTAATAGTACAGTAAATTCATATTTTTTAATAATGAAAGGAATCTGCAGAAGGTCAGGCATAAACATAGGCACTCTAGATTTATTTGAGATTTTGTTGCTCATATACTTGCAAAATCCAACCTAGAAAATACTTGCAATCCAACACATTTTGAAAGATGTGTTGCGGAAGCTGATCCTGATATATCCTCTGATTTTTGCGGTTATCGGTTAAAATCCAACCTAGAAAATACTTGCAAAATCTCCACGTATTAGTACCATATATTTATGCATTCACAAATTTAACTCATATCAATCAAACTCATTTAGTAATATACAATGAACTAAAATGAAATTTAAAATCTAAAATAAGTATACTTTTTTTGCTTCCACATCTGAACAAAAAATAATAATAATAACAAGCCCTTACCTCTTTGTTGCAACATATCACTGCCTGCATGAGAGCTGTTTGCCCTGCTCTATCAACAGCATCAATCTCTGCTCCTTCCTCAATCAATAGCTCACACAGTTCCAAGTGGCCTGTACTTGCAGCGCGATGCAGAGGGGTACAACCGACCTACATATATCATAATTGGGAACTTCAAAGGTATATTTTGCATGCAAAAATAATTATAAGATTCTCAAATGTAAATGTGACACATGTAAATAAGTTAGCATGATTGTTTACCACCTTGTCCTTTTTATTGATTTTTGCGCCGTGAGATATCAGAGTTTCAGCTATCTTGATCCAGCCCTTACTGGCAGCATAATGAAGGGCAGTCCGTCCACCATTATTGGTCAGATTGACATCAGCTCCTGATTTCATATAAGCAGTGTCAATTGTAAGTGACCAAAGCGCAGATGATGAAACACAATCAACATCAACATCAACATCAAGCCTCTGTCCCACTATGTGCGGTCGGCTACATGAATCCTTTTTCGCCATTGTGTCTTGTTAAAAGTCAAATTCTCATTTAAATCTAATAAAGAAAACTCATTTCTAATATTTTCTAACCAAGACTTTTAGGTAAAGTCTACCTCTATCTTTCTTAACATAAGTCAAATACAATACCTCAACTTTTCTAACCGGGTCATCGGAAGGCCTCCGTTTAATATGACCAAACCATTGAAAGGAAAATGCAGCAGATGAACTAATGGAAAGGAGCAATGCATATCGAAAGGAAAGCTCTTTAGTTCAAAAAAATCACCATTGGTAATCACAAGAATAGCCACAAACTATGAAAACAGCAGTGGTTTCCTAATAATAAAAAATGAAAAAGTGAACACTGAATAGTTAGTGTCATTACAGATGGAGAGCTGATGCTACAGAGTAAAGAAAAAAAAAAACACCATGAGAGATTGCAAGGGGTGAAATGGGTTCCTTTGCAATCCCACATGAATAAGATATATTGTAAGAACCCTCCCTACATCTCTTTAGTATTTTGCAAGGACAGAAGGCATGGAAGCGCACCTGAACATACCCAGCTTAAACAACGGTCGCATGCTTCTCTTAGCTAACTGCAAACCCTTACGGTGATTTTCTAAAGAGGAGAATAAGTCACACTAATTTAAATGCTAATTAGGTGTATAGGTGATGCAGGACTACTTAAAAATGCAATGTTTTTTGTTAAGAATCTTGCACAACTCTTGATTAGGATTATAGTGAAGAAAACTATTAGTAGTTTAAACAACGAAGTAAAACATAAAGAGGGTCACACCCGCTTAGGCTAAATCACATAACCAGAGATTTGAAACTTTCAAAATAAATTAGAAAGCAACATGATGCCAGAGTAGTAGTTTCAATAGAAATCCCTAGTCTAACAGTGAGATTAGTAATCACATGAATACGCTCAAAACCCTACGTTTACTAAGCTTTGCATAAGTAGTAGAAATCGACCTTCGTGACTACAATCAAACACAAGATAAGGTTAGACTTAAGAAATATAAGGAAAGGGGAAAGTTGAACCCTTTGTCAAGGATCGGTGGCGATCCGCCACTCAACTCCTTCAAGTTGCTCTTCAATTGCTTCCACCAACGTGTCCAAAATACACTCTATGTAATCTTCAACGGTGTGGTCGATCCTCGGATTAATGTCAAAGAAATTTGACTGAAGAATGTGTACAAAGCCGTCCTCGTCATACTCAAGTCCGTAGTCCGTTTCGGGGTCAGCCATCCATGCGAGAAGTCGTTGTTTTGGTTCTAGGAAGTGCTGGTCGGTAGTCTGGGCTAAGGGAAACTAGTGGACAGCAACTCAGTCTTCCAAAACAATAGTTATAGGTCTTCCAAGGTTGGAGGAGGTAATGCAACGGCTGAAGTTTTCTGGCTGCAGTCTTGGGAAGAAGGAGAATCAATGTTAAGTAGAGTTTGGAGAGTTGTAATGGAAGAAAATCCCACGGGAAAGCCTTGGAGAATTTCGGCCAGCAAAGGAATTAGGGAAAAGCTTTAATTCCCCAAAATAGAAGGCTAGTTTTGGTAAGATTTAAGCGGTGCAGGCCAGAGAGGAATTTCGGCCAGGTTGTAGGGAAAGGATTTAATTCCCCAAAATAGAAAGCTGATTTTGGTACGATTTAAGCGGTGCTGGCCATAGAGGAATTTCGGCCAGGTTAATGGAATAGGTTTTGAATTCTTTCCAAGTGCACGTAGGGGCTTAGGAAATAAATCATTGCATTTATTATAGAGGGGGGCCGACGGCTTAATGATGAGGGAGGAGATTGGGGAGATGAATTTGATTACTTATTTAAGGCTTTAGGAATTAGGAAAGTGTTCTAATAAATCCGATTTGAATTTGAAATTCAAAGGGATTTAATTTAGGAACTTTCCTAAAATAGATTTGATAAATTAGGCAAGATTTTGAATTTCAAATTAAGTATTTGGAATTCAAAACTCCATCCAAAATTTAACCAATTCAAAATTAGGCATGAGGTTTTGGGAGGGAAAAGGGAGGGGAGTGGGTAGAGGGCCGGCGGGTGGTGCTTGGCCGAGAGGATGAAAGGGAATTAATGGGGAGGGATGGAGGGGTTCGGGTGAGATGGGGAGCCAACGGCTAAATGGAAGGGAAGGTAGGGAAGATAGAGAATTAAAACCACGAACCCGGCCATCTCCAAGGTTGGTGGGTAATGCGCCGATCTCTCCCTCTAAGGGATCTCTCCAATCTCTCAAGCTCTCTCCGAAACTCCAACAAGAAAACACAATTCTCAAATAATCATTCATTACTTGAAAAATAAAACAACGGGCTATAAATAGCCTAGTACATGAGACTCAAGAAATAAAAGACGAAAATGCCCTCGTGGCTTACATACGATACCCCTTTACTTAGAAGGGTACTAAGGGAAATGAAATAACATAAAATAAAACAAAATACAACGACGCAAAAATAAAATAATACATGACATAAATCAAAAGTACAATGACTTGATCGTGGCCGTAGATCAGCGGCCACGCCTCTGATAAACCTTCCATGACCTGATGTCCCCATCAATAGGATGAAAAGATAATGCATGCACTTTAAACTTTAAAGAGCATTCAAATGCAATCTTATGTGCAAATTGTATTAGTATGTGTAGTGGACTAGTTATAATTACTAATAATTTCCTAGAAGCCACATATCTATAAGCAGCTCAGCGTTTGTTGTAGGACAACCTTTTATATTTCATAAATTTTACTTCTTCCAATTAGGAAATATAAAAAAAAGGTTTACAAAAATGGTAAAATTGAATCTTATAGCTTCATGTTCTATGTGTATCTTCTATTGTTCTTCATAAATTTTGGTTTTAAACTAAGCAAAGCGTTTTAAATAAGGATAAGAATCAGGGGGTAATGTTATCATAAAGAAAAATAACACTAATATCTAAAATATAATAGTATTAAACCAAAATCATTTTCATAACATTGATACCCCAATAACACTCACATCTAAATAACTCTAAACCAAACTACCCTAAGGGGCTGTTTGGTAGTAGGATTTAGGTCGGATTTGAGGCGGATTTAAGTGAAATCCAGCCAAACGGCCTAAAATGCAAAACCAAACTCACGGCAAATGAAAGCCTCCGTAGATAGAAAATTCTGCCTTTTCGTGCTAAATCCCGGATTTCCGAAATCCTATTTTTTGCCGAACTTACGAAATCCATTGGCTCGAGAGGAAGAGTCCGCCCGTTAAATCCACTATATAGCCAAACAATTACATTGGATTTAATAGGATTTATTGTGAATGTTACCAAACATTTTTCAGGATTTAGGCCCCTCAAGATTTCCAAAATATGGATTTAGAGGATTTACGAAATCCTACTTAAATCAAATCCTTGGTGCTACCAAAGAGCCTCTAAAAGTTCTATCAAGTATTTTCCACTAATGTAAAGTTTATTCATTGCAAAGGAATCTAATTCTAAAGAAAAGCCTATCACATCTGGATTTGCTTCACCATTTTACCGCATTCCCCACTGGAGGGATGAATATCCAATTCTATATCATAAGTGATAATTATTTTCTATCCTACCTCTAGCTCACTATATTTGTACTCTTTCATAAAGTTCTAATAGCAATGGTGTATGTCAAAACAAGCCATCAGATTGATCATACCAATATACTTTTAAAGCTGCATCTTGTAATATAATAGAATGAATAGATGAAAAAATAAAATGCAAATTCATGCCTTTCTTCTATAACTTGTTCATCTTCAGCTCACCATTCTCGAGCAGTATATTAACAATTTCTCCATTGCCACAGCTCGCAGCAGAGTGAAGTGGCGCCCATCCATCCTCATCGGTGCTATTCACAATACCGCTAGAAGGACTCGCGGCTGCTAAAAAGCTAACAACCTACATCACAAAAAAACCAAAGATCGAATCTTTTTAGACTCTAATCAAACGACTAGCCTCTAACTGAAAATAGAGAGAGAGAGAGGAGTGGGGGGATTGAAGATTGACCTCGGTTCGGCCGGCTGAGGCGGCAACGTGGAGAAGAGAGCGGCCGTCCTCATTGGTCAGAGAAAGTGCATGCCGGAGCTCATCTTCGGAGAGGTTTCTGAAGAACGAGGCGTTGCCGCTCTCCGCGGCCTTGAAGAGATCTTCTTTCTTTGGCGCATCGATCTCCATAGCTTGGGCCATCGACCTTCGCTCTCTCACTCCCTCTCCCTCTCCCTCTCCCTCTCCTCTCTCTCTCGGGTTTCTCAGGGTTTACCAGCGTCTCGGGGCTCGCGCTTACAAACTTTTATTTGGTCCGGTCACAGGAGGCTCTATCGTTAGGCCGCCCACCGCTCATTATTTATCATGCGCCCCCGACAATCCGATCCAGAACGATCCAAAATGGGTCGGTATTTCTAGAATTTGCTAATTTTGTTCGGCAATAATCAATATCAAGCAAATATCGAGTAATACCGAGCAAATACCGAGTAATTCTGAGGAATACCGAGTTGTACCGAATTTTTCTAGAAATACCGACCCATATTGGTCTTCACATAGCGGTATTTCTCGTTATTGCTAAGCAATACCGTGCAAATACCGAACAATACCGAGCAATACCGAGTTGTATCGAGTTTTTCTAGAAAAACTCGGTACAACTCGGTATTGCTCGGTATTGATCTTCACAGAACGGTATTTCTGGTTATTGTCAAGTAATACCTAGCAATACCGAGCAATACTGAGCAAATACCGAGTAATACCTCGCAATACGCGAACATAGCATTCCCGGGTTTCGGTCCGGGTCAAGTCGTCGGGCCGCGCGATAAAGAGTAAGAGCACGTGACGATATGTTATTGGCGGCCGAATGTAGCTCTACATCCGATCAAAGGACGTAATAATTGTTCCGCGCTTACACCAAGACAAAAAATAATTTAAAAATTAAGGTAAAATACCTAGAAGTTGTAATTCGTACTCAAAAGTATAATTATATTCTGAATCATGCTTATGCAAATATTTGTTAATAATTAAAAATATATATTTTAGCTAAAATAAGTCTAAATATAAATATATTTAATTTAATTTTATAAGCCTCATAAAGATTTTATCTGAACAAATATATAACTATTTTTTTATTTAATGTCAAAATATTTGAAAGAAATTATTTTTATAAGTAAAATAGAAGACAAAGTTCTATGAATATTACATACTAATTTTATTTAAAAATAATAAAATTACAATAATAATGACACTATAATTCCATACTTTGTTACTAGAAATTAAAAGAATACAAAATTATGAATAAAAAAAGATACAAAATAGTTTAAAAAACTTTTTTTAAAATAAAAGACATAAATTGTTTGAATAACTTACCTCTTTTCATGATATTAAATATAGTTTTTTATCAATTCTTGAAGTCTCCACATCGAAAAATAATTTCTTCAGGTTACCTGACATAGAGCTACAATAGGTAGCCTATAATATGTCGTCACGTGCACTTACTCTTTACCATGCGGCCCGACGACCCGACCCTGAACGGACCCAGGAGTTTGCGTAACTCGGTATTGCTGAGTATTGGTCGATTTTGCTCAACAAAAATGAAAAATACTATTATGTGAAGACCAATACCGAACAATACCGAGTTAAACTATTAAGAGATTTATAATGAGAATAACAAAAAATATAAAGATGCTTATATACTATGAAATTCTTGAAGACAATGAGAATATACATTCATGAAATAGACGTAACAAACACAACAATTCTCAAGTGATTGTTTATAATTTCATATCAATTCAAACTGCAAAAATTAGAAAGAATCATAAATAAAGAAAATGAAAGGAAAAGAAATATGATAAAAGTCAAATCCTTGAAATAACATGTAGAAAAGATTTCAGTTGGTAGCCACACATAAAATCACTTGGTAATGAAAGTTATGGTTGCGAAACAAGACTCACCAAATGATCTGCGTGCGACATGCGCACGAACGAAGGTGTAGTGAGTCTCTCCTATTCGTTCATCTCTCCCGTAGGGTTTGCGAGACATAACTGCGAGGAAAATACCAAAATGGCGTCCCTGTGCATTTGTGACTTGTGTTATTCACCATAAACCCAATTGTTATTATTATTATTTGTTGCATCCAGGAGTATTCGCGGTGGTAGAGAAATATAAAGTTTATCGTCTTAGCGTTGTACGAAAATCCGTCACTCAATCAGATAAGAGAGAGGGTCTAGCATTTATGAGACACCAGAATTTTTACGTGAAAAACCCCTGAAAATGGGGAAAAACCACGGGGCCTAGCCCAGTTTGAATGAATCCACTAGTATTACAGTCGATTACAAATGAGGCCCTTCCTTAGGAGAAGGCCTTAGCCTTGATGTACATTTTATAAAGTACATTACATGATATGAATACAAAGAATCACTATTGGCATGTTCGTTTGGTCGGGAGGACCGTAGTCGGCGGGCAACGGAGGTCGGAAGGCTTGTAGTCGGTGGCCGACCTAAGTCAGGAGGACCGTAGTCGGCTGGCGACGGAGATCGGAAGGACTGTAGTCGACGGGCGACGTAAGTCAGGAGGACCGTAGTCGGCGGGCGACAGAGGTCGGAAAGACTGTAGTCAGCGGGCGACGTGAGTCAGGAGAACCGTAGTCGGCTGGCGACGGAGGTCAAAAGGATTGTAGTATGACGACGAAGATCAGAAGGACAACGTCAGGTAGAAGTCCAACAATGGAAATAAGTCCATATTAGCATAGACGTCCAGCGAAGTCCGATAACCGGTAGAAGTCCGGTATCGGGTAGAAACTTGGCGAAGAGTGAAGGTCCGACGTGTGTTGGTGGCAGAGGAGAACTCCGGCTTCACTTAGGTGGAGTTTCGGCGCCAAGAGGGAACTCTATTGTAAATTGGGAAGAATTTCAGCATCACGTGGAAGTTGGATAGAATTCCTGCGATCTCCCGAATATCACGCAGAATCCCGGCGTGTTCGGGCGGTAGGACGAACTCCGATGGTGGTCGAGGAGGAGGGGATTCTCCTTTTCGCCTTTCTCTTCTTCTTCCCTTCATCTTCTCTCTCTTCACTTGAGTCCCCCTTGTGAAGAATTAGGACTCAATTTATAGTTTTTCTGGAGTGGCATTGCTCGTAAATAGGTGTGAGATCATGGGCGAATAGGGAGTTGTTGAATGGACGGCTGATATTGAATCCTTTGATCATACACCGTTCGTCAGCCATTTGAAAGCCTTAGTGATGTCAGAATCCGGTGATCTTGAGCTCGTTGGATTCGTCTCATCGAGCCGTTCGATTCTATTATAAGCTTGCAAAAACCGGAGACCGTTTGGTAACTCAAATTGTGGTTCGAACCTTCCAATAGCGCTTTGGGTCCTTGATTTGGATTCATTTGGGCTCGGATTGAGTCAAATTTGGTGTCGTTGGGTTCGTATTTCCGAGACGCTCATTTTGACTATAAGTTTGCTGAAATTGGAGTTCAGGTGCTTCCGGATTTAATTTTTGAAGTTTCCAACTTGACTTTTGCCTCAAGATTCGTGCCGGATCAAGATAATTTTTGCATTAAGTATCATTATTATTATTATTCTAAACCTAAGTAGTGCTGCCACCTCGCCAATTCTGACCGTGACTTGCTTGGGAATGAAAGAGAGAGGGGAGAGGAAGAGGATAGAGAAATGAGAGAAATCTAGTTTTTTTTGCCTTTTTTGTCCGTAGCTTCTATTATAAAAAGTGTTCATATCTTTGTAAGTAAATATTCTCTTATTTTTATTTTGATCATTTTAATTTTTATGGATTTATCACTTATTAAATATATGTAAAATAAATTTAATGGTAAAATGAATAGGAAAAAAAGGCAAATTGGAAATAGGTTGAAAAGTGTTGTACTATGATTTGACGTGATAAGACTAGAAGACAATATGTATTGAAATAATTGATATGATTGAGTTATGTAAGAATGTAATATTGCTAATAGTCTGAATTTGATATGATGTATGAATATGATATGATAATCTCATGTAATATTCATGAGGTCCATGTGATACACTAGTGGGAGTTAGTGGATATGCGTTATAAGGAGCTGAAGATTGATTGACAGACGGTAGTTATAAATAATCGGGACGACTGTCATGTTTTAAGGTAAGTTATAATGAGTTCATTGATTGAGAGTCATAAATAACGACTGATTGGAAGTCATAAGTGCAAAAACAAGATCAAAATACTCTCTTACGAATATCTGAATATTATAATGATATTGATTATTATTGTTAATTAGTGATTGTTGTTATTGTTATAGTGATTGACACTAAGAATACTAATACTTATACTGATACTGTAACTAACACTAATACTATTTATTGATACTGTGACTAACGATGTAATTAACTAATATGTGATGTGTTATAATATGAGTATTTGATACATATAAATGATATATATACTGATGTATAAATTTCTTTATATGATTTATAATATATTATTTATCTTCTTATTGCATTGATTTTAATTGTAAGATTGTGATTACTTGCTGGGCTTTCATGCTCATTACATAATTTTATATAATTTTAGGTAAATATAAGGAGCACTTGGATTGAAGCTTAATTGTAATGATGCTTTAGTTTTCTTTCGATTCTTTTGGTTCATGTATATTATTTTGTAGCCTATGAAAGCTATTATATATATTATTTTTTACTCTACTGACATAATGTAAATATTAACTACTATTTTCATTAATATGAATTATGTTTTTCATTATTTATTGAGTTTATTTAATGCAAATAATTAGCTATGGATCTCAAAATGATTGGGATATAAATTGATCCGGTTATAATAATTGATCATTAGTTGTCAAATAAAAGGATAAAACGATAAAAAAAATTCTTTCACTTTAAATCTTGAACCGTGACAAAATGAGTTAAATGAAGCTTAAGTCACAACAAATTTAGCTTGATTCATAGGTCAAATTTGTGTTAACCTTAAACATTGAGAACACTTTTAGCGCATTCAATTTATTTCCAAGCTCAAGTTCAACTTGATAGGAAATCGTTCAAAGATTTCCTTAGATAAAGATTGATGAGAACAATGGTATGAAAAAGGTCAATGAATGTTGCAGCATGGTCTCATTAGAGAAAATATCGATGAAACCTGTAATTGAAAAAGAAGTTGGGGTTGGAGCCTGATAGTGAAGGCATTGACATGACCAACATCATTGAGAGGAGTTTGCGAGACTTTATGCCAAGTGAAGTTAGGAATAATGTAAAATGACAAGAAATGATAGATAAGATTAAATGTTTACTCTATTCAAGCTATTTTATGAGTCAGCGAGTCAAGCTTCATCAAGTTTGAGCTCGAGTTTTTATTATTCAAGTTCAAGCTTGTGGCTTGAGAAACTCAACTCACAAACTCGTTAGCCAGTTAAGTCAAAACAAGTTGACTCAAATACATCCCTACATGAGAATCTTGTTACAAGATTTAATCTAAAACAAGGGAGCATCATTCAATCAAGTTGGCTTGCTAGCCAACTAACATAATTGGGTCAAGATTGAATTTGAGCTTATGTACCATACGAGATATAATTTGATCTCGAGCTATAACTCACGGCTAAATAAACTAGAATTATAAGCTAGTTAATAAGTAAAGTAGATTAGGCTCATGCTTTGCTACTTATAGCCATAACAATTCCATTTTAGCTCAATTTGCTAATCTTTTGTATTTTCCTCTCTTTACATGCCAAAGTAATAATAAGTGAAGTGGGGAAGAGAATTAGACACTTGGATAGTAAGTAATTATAGTTAATATTTAGGTCTTCTCTTAAATATTAGAATTTAAATATCAAATTTTTTATATTTCATTGATTTAATATTTAATTAAAAGCATATTTGAACAAAATAATATATATATATATCTGTTCGAAAATTTTCTTGGAATTGTCCTATACATTTTCCTGTATTTGGTTCGGTAGTCTCTGAACATTTGAGCGGATAAAATTTTAATAGAATTTTTTCTTCGGGCCATCCCTCTCATCTAGGTCGAAGGGTCTCGGTGATTCACGTCCACGAGAGGCATCTGATAAGATCGATTATCCATATTGCGCCAACTCAAATTACTCGCACATCGATACACATATCTCAAATTGGTGCCCCCTTCTACCGTTATAGCCAGGAGAACCAGTAATTTTTTTGAGTTTGAAGACGTGTAGATGTGAGCAGTGAGCAGCATGGCGACTGTTGTGGCTGCTGCGATTCTTCTGAGCCCTATCTTTTGCCAGAAATCTATCCATTTCTCGAGTTCGAACAGCCAATTTTTCGGCGGAGTTTCGAAGAAAATCAATTTTGATGAGAAATCCGTCAGCAAGAGGAGGGATTTGGGGGGTTTCGTTGTGGCTTCTGCGAACGCTGGCACTGGTGGAGCAGGGAGGTTTTATATAAACTTTACCGGTTTTCCTTTCCCGCTTGGGCCTTTTCTCAATAGGCGAACTATAAGGACTGAGGTGAAATTATCCTTATTTACTTTTTAATTCATCAATTTTTTCTTATTAAGGAAGATATGGCAGGGAAACACCTTTGATTGGTATGAAGTTATGAATTAGCTTGATTGATTGGATTCTGTTAGGAAAGTTGATTTCGATCTAGGCCATGTTAAAAAAGGTAGAGGTAGATCTAAAAAAACTTGATTAGAAAGGATTAAAAATGACTTTTTTATATTTAAATGAGAATTTGATCCTTAATAGAACACAATGGATAAAAATGATTAATGTAGCCGATTCCAATTAGTAAGATAAGGCTTATTGTTATTGTTTTTGTTTGGCTTACTTAGTGCTTTAAGTTTAGACTTTTTTATGATCATGCTTTCATTTAGTTTGCTTTCTTTATTTATTTCATCAATATTCCGTAAAACTAGGGGTAAATTCTAAGTTAGTGATTAATGCTGTTGCACACCATTTTATGCATAACCCATCCTATGTATCAAGTTAAAGTATTAAACCTTACAATTTTACACTTTTTCTCGTAACATAGTAGGGGACCACTCATTTCGAGAACTCCACTAAGAGCATATTTAATTTTAGAGTTAGTTGGGGAAATATTTCTTGAAGTCTCATCAGTTGTGGTGTTTTTTTTTTTTATGATATAATTGTGTTAGCCATAGCAATTCTATTTTATTGGAGTTAGCTGCCTGACTATCAATTAAGCATCATAAGTGGATTTGTTATTTGTATTTATTGTTGGTCTTATGAGCTATTTTGTGTCAGAAATATTCTATATGTCAGTTGAGTCTTGGAATAGAATGTTGTCACTCGATTTTTTTTCTTACATGCATTCAACCAACAAATTGTTGCCCGGAATATGATGTAATGGTGTTAAGGGCTTGAAGAGTTGTGAATGAAAAGGCAATGCTAAGACAAACAAACAGGATACTTACCTCTTTCTTACCAAAAGAAGGATATCACTCAACTTCATCAAAGGAAGAGATTAAGTATTCTAGCCAGCAAGATAAGTTTAAAGAACAGAACTGTCAATTGTTATTCTAAATATGATGTTTACAACCTAATTTTTTGTTAGACCGGTCCAGCCGGTCTAGGTGGTACCGGTTTACGGGCAAAACCGTGATGCTCTTCTGCCTCTGGCGGATGCCCCGCGAGCCGCAATTCCACGGGAGCGTTTTAGGAAGGAATTTTTAGGAAGTTTAGGAGGGAAATTGAATGTAGGGACTATTTAGGGATTTCCTTTTGATTTGTATGCATTAAATACTTTGTTTTCTTAGGGTTAGGGCATCTTGAATTTGGCTGAAATTTGAGATCTCCTAGATTTAGGTTTTTCTTTAAGCTCTAGTGGCGTCTAGAGATTTGGGAGAGATCGATCCTCCTCTCGAATAGAGGATCAATTGTATCTTGCTATTTTCTGTTTTCCTTTCATCAAATAATACAAATTATCTACTATTTTCGTCGTTATGTGCGAACTTTTGTGAAGAATTCTCGCTGTTTTCCGAAGATTGATAGGAAATACTTGAGATCTACAAGTGTTTCCTATCATTTTCATGGTTATTCATGAAACTTTATATAATGAAAATGAGGAAAACCAAAAGATTTTAAGAATACAAAGAGTTAAGGACATAGAAGTTATATGAATAAGAGAACATGTAACAGAAGTGTATAAGCTTCTACACCAATGTACTTGAATCCATAAATGATTGTCTAAAGGTGCATTGAACCTAGACATTTCTCATTCCTTCACAGTGATGGTCATCAGTGTTAGTTGCTAATTCATAAGTCGATGCCTTACCAAAGTAACTCCAAGCATTATTGAACCTATGAGTAGCTCCTTCACCTCGTTGGTTCTCCTCCACATCTCAAAACGGCCTTCATTCAGTCAGCCCAATCAAGCTTGCATGGCTTGCACTAATTGTCTCAAGCAAAGGAGGAAACACGTTGTTCAAACATACATGCAATTATCACTTTTTTCCCACACGCACAATTATACAGATATACATGAAAATTATATGAAATAACAAAATAACGCAATCAAAATAAAGTTCCAAAAAAATGAAAGAGATGAGTTAATTATTTCTGATGAAAGCTCTGGTGATTGGCTTGTGTGCCGCAGGAGCTGATGGCATTGCATTAGAATAAGTTTCAAATGCTTATGTTAGCTTTTTCTATTCTTAGCATATGTGGAAGTACGCAGGTGTCACAAAAGCTGAAACTAAATAGGATTGACCATAGGGTTGCCCACCCAATTATTAGGCTCATAAACAAAGAGTTATTGAATTTAGGCCTATTGGGTCAAGTTTGAGTGTGGATACTTGAAAATGCCTTTATATATAAATGGAAGTAAGCTTAAAGAAATTAGGGAGCTCAATTAAAAAAGCTGAACTGTTGTAAGAAGATAAATGTTTAGAACAAAGGGTTGGATAGATATCAGGATTTGTTCATGCTCCTTGCTTTCTTAAAGTTTGAACATTCAATGTTGACTCGCATGGGCTGGAACAAACGCTATTTTTAATAAATGGATATGCTTGTTAACAATTGAATATGACCTTTGTGGATGAGTTAATGAACACTATGTTGCGCTTTTATATTTGATCATGTGGGATTATTTCCAGTTGTATACATCCATGACTGGCTGCAAGTATTATGCATTCGTTTATTTCTATTTTTAACATAGCATGTAGTGCTTCTTATAGATGTTTACAGTTTACTTGGATTTCAAATTTACGAAGTTGGTTTCTTGGACTAATCCAATGAATTATTGCTGCATTTTTACACTTAAGCTACATGAAGTGAATCATAGCCTTTTGGATTTAACTCTGTTTCCTCTATTAAAAAAGTTAACTTGCTCATGGCATAAATTTCTGGTTCAACAAAAGTGATTTATGTTCCCATTTGCTTCTGATTTATAAAGGCTTTGAAAGACTGCATATGGCTATTCGAGCAAGAGCAAGCGTTAGGATTCAGCAGCGTGTCCACTAACATCAGAATGACAGTCATCAGGCTAAAATCTGGGGGTTTGTGGATCCATGCACCTATTGCTCCGACCAAAGAATGCATTCAGGTTCTTCACTGCTTCAATCTCTCATAATCGTCATATATTATTTGATTATAATAAAATCTAATAAAACAGTGGTCATTTCAATATGCATTTCTTTTTAATTACTTCCATACATACCTGTACGCTGTGGCCCATGAATATAGTATTTCTTTGGTGGTTTCAATTTCCTTGTTATAATTATCAGTTATCATGTTCTATGTTTTATTCGACTGAGTTAAACAAATTTATTGATTCAAAGTACCCATTTTGAAAGGTCAGCTTGTGGAAGAGTTAAACGCACCAGTTGAATACATTGTACTTCCCACTTTTGCTTATGAGCATAAGATATTTGTTGGGCCTTTCTCAAGGAAGTTCCCAAAGGCACAAGTTTGGGTGGCTCCTAGGCAATGGAGTTGGCCGCTTAACTTGCCACTTGAATTCTTTGGCATTTTCCGTGCAAAAGCTTTAAGAGATGAGGATGATTCTACCCCGTGGGCTAATGAGATTGAGCAAAAGGTCCTAAGCTTAGCAGAAGTTGGTAAAATTACCCCTTCTCATTAGAAATAATAAGTTTGTTTTCTTATGATGGCTAATTATGAACTTGATTGTCGCACTTCTAATGAATTTCAATATCTGTAGCCAATTCAAAGGGGTGAACCTGTCTTAGGCTTTGTCTGGTGCCGTTTTGGCATCCATAGTTGCGCGATAGTACATGTGGTCCTAGCTGCTGTTGTGCCACAGTGCTTGTCGTCCTAGCTGCACCTAGGTCAGGTGTTACTAGGACCACAATTTTTCATGGCCGGCAGGCTACATGCTGCTGAAAAGCAAGACTGCACCTGCGGGGCCAAACATTACTAGCAGATCCTGCTCCTTATAATCTATTTGACATAGAATATTTTGTTGGAAATTTATCATAAACTGGTTTTATTTTGCAGGTATTGGACCATATGTAGAGGTTGCTTTTTATCATAGACGCTCAAGAACTTTACTTGTTACTGATGCTGTAATTTTTGTTCCACGTCGGCCACCTGATTGTATCAGCAAAGAATCCTTATTAAAATCTGCTAAGAATGGTTTGGCAGTCAAAATCCTTAGCAAAGGAAAAAAGGTTCCTGATGAACCTGTAGTTGATAACAACTCAAACCGCCAAAAAGGTACATTGTGTAGATTGAGTAGTTGGAAGTTATTCCACTGCGTAAGTTCTGATTAATTTTCTTTATTGAATAATTCTTGGTTGTCAACTCTAGAAATTTATATACAAAATGATGATTGTTGAAGTTAGGACATGCTACCTGCAAAAGTTTTCTAGTTATGGTTGAACAACAATTGCACAAAAACAATATGTACAAAACTTCTATACCTTGAAATGATGCAGGATACCTTACAAGGAAGGGATGCTTGAAATATAACTTTCAGATTCAGTCTATTGCATGTTGTTTATCAGTAGAAGGATATATCATATGTTTTTCTTTGCTTAAACTATGCAACTTCAACTCTTTAAACTTTGTGAGTTCAAATTTTCCTGTTAAACCTGATGGTGGTATATTAGACTTAGCCTATTCTTACTCCATATAATGACCTAAGAGTTCCTTCTTGGGAATGCAGAGCAATGTCATTGATGCTTCTTGAGATCCACTTCAAATCTTTCTGGATAAAATTTTAAGATATGATGGACAATGCTATATAAAAATGAAAACTATTCTCTCTGTCCATGTTAAGAACCAAGTCTTAGAATTTTGTTAATACATGCAAGGTTCTGATATTTATTCTGTAGTAAAACAATATGCTTGGCTCCATCTTTCATTGACATTCCCTTATGTTTGAATCAAATTCTTATTGTTTTTCTTTGCCCTCTTGTTCATGTCCATGTGTAAACCTCTTCATTGGTTAAGTTTACTCTGCTACTAACATATGATGTATTGTTATTTTTAATGATATAGTTTGACAAACTTCTTTAAGCCACTGAAACATATTTAATTTCTTGGTATATGGAATCCTCATGTAAAATTTTTCATTATATTTGTTTATTACTTCTCGTTTATTTTAAGATGATATTCTAATACTTTGTGGCACATAAGGTTCCAAAGAACCTTTTTTACACAACAAAAGTAATTTGAGTTCTCTTTTTTTTTGGTAATAGGTTGGGAAAGAATGGTCCTTCAAATCTTGTTTCTAGGCCCTTCAAATCTTCTGGAGCCCTCCGCGACCTTCTCTCAAATGTCAAGGAAATTAATTGTCTCTCCAATTGTCAAGACATTAGTTTTCAGCAAAGTTCCAGATAAGGTTCATATAGTCTCAAGCTTTGGATGTGTGATTTTTTTTTTCTTTTAATTTTTATAGATTGTGATTACTACTTACATTCTATTGCTTTCTCTCATACAAGCGCACACACACTCATAAAAATGTGGTCGGGAGAGAAGGGCTGTGAGGAGCAGTGAAGATAAGGGAAGTTGTGGAGTAGATGTATATGGAGTGGAAGGAATGGGAATGGTAGGGCATAGTTGAGTGGAGTGGAAGGGATTGGAAGGACTGGAAGACTATAATACACATGAATGAAGACCAAAATTTTCTTTTTATGTTAATTCCTCTAGATGAAATTCACCATATTGCACTAAGTTACTTATATATGCTTGTAATTTGGGAATTGGGTGAACACCAATACAAATATGTAGGGTCAATAGTTAAGCATTTAGTTCTTACCATAGCAAAAAATTAAATCTTTAACCAAACAAATGTTCTACGAACCAAGCTAGATAGTCTCCTATAACTGGATTCACTAACCAGCCTAAGGTTTGATTCTTATTATTCTCACCGTAAATCAAAATCATAAGTCTTGTGTCTAGCTATTAGCTCTGACATGATATAAGGGGCTGTTGGTGGGGATTTAAATCATCCATTCTCTTTCAGGACATTAAATTAGTGAAATACATGATTTTAAAAACTCATAAGATCGATTGATTGTGAATTAGAAGATTAAAAATTTTGTTAATGAATGACTTCAATTGCATGAGCAGATAATTGCAATTGTGGGACTTTTAAATTGATCAGAATTAAATTCATGTGTTCATCATAATATTTAACATATATTTTATAAATTTAATTAGTAAAAACATAGATAAAATTGACTTCTAAAAACTTTTATAGATATTATATGATCAATCTCAACTTTTTTAAATACTCAAATGAGTAGACAAATTAGTAGTCAAATTAATTAAACTTGATTTATAAGTCTTTTTTATGATGTAACCAGTGTTGTAACATAGAGTGGCAATTGAAAAAAAAAAGAAAAAAAAGGAGGAGAATAGTATATATATATATATATATAAAGAAAAATGTCAAAAATAGTTCATCTACTCTTTATAAGGATCAAAATTAGATCTCCTAAGCTATATTAAGAAGATATTTTGATCCCTCAAGTCTTTAAAAAATTGAATCAAATTGTCCCATGGATAGGAGATTTTGGTTCTTCTTTTAAGGAGTTGGAGGGATTAAAATAGTTTTTAATATAGTTGAGGACTATTTTTATCTTTCATAAAAGTCAAAAATATTTTGTGATCCTCTCTCTCTCTCTCTCACCGGGCGGAACCAATGGGTTCCAGGGGGCAATTGCCCCTCAAATTTTTTTTAATTTTTTTTATATGGTGTGTTTTAGATAATTTCCCTTTTTATTTATTTTGCAGTCTCTTAGTTACAAGGGTTTTGCAGGCAATTGCCCCCGCCTATGTAAAGTTTAAAATACTATGAGTTTTAGGCAATCGTGCCCGCCAGGACATCTCGAACCCCGCAGAGGACCTGGCCGGGGTCCCTTGAACCGCAGATATATAGTGTCTTAAAGTTTGCCATTGCCACCCTGAAATGTTAGGAGCTGAGTTCGCCCTTGCTCGTTTTCTCTGCCTCTTACGCTGCTATTAAAAACAGATACGTCATTCTATTCCTAAAGCTGTCTTGTTCTCTGTTCCGGTCATTTGAATTCATTGGTTCATCTCATTATCTACCCTTTAATTTGTCCCTCCCATCTATGGCATTTGTCGGACGAGTGATGAATTGTTTTTAGTGGTTTATAAAGGCATACAAATATATTATTTTTTTCAGGTGAGAAATCGGATTGATAGAGTAGCAGTAGACTGGCCCTTCAGAGGGTAATCTCCCGCACATTGTTTGGTTTTTTGTCTTGTTTTGTCTTTAGCTCCAGTAAACGCAGGTACTCATGATTTATTAGGCAGCTTTTCGTGTCCTCAACGAACTTCTGGTTGACGCGGGTCTGTCGGCAAAACTTCGATTTCACTTGTTTTTGCTTCTCTATCTTTCGGCAAGGCAGCAGTTAGGTAGCTTTAACCTACCATGATGATATGAATAACCTATCGTCTTCTCTTGATATATTTCTTTATCTCAGTTGGATGCTGTGAAAACTGCTTCTGAGAGGAGAAAGTTGACACAGAGATTATTAGTCGGGTTAATTATGGTAGGTTTATTTTGTTTGAACTATTAGAATGAGTAATGTATATCTATTTGGTGTGTCGTGTATAGGTGACTAGAGAAGGAAAATTATGTTGGAAAAGTTAAGGAGTTCGGTATTGATTTTTTGTAGCAATTAGTTGGTTTGAGATAATGTGTTATTAGGTTGTTGCTGTGGATTCTTTCATGAAATCAGTTTATTCTTATACAAGTGCTTTTTGGATATCATTAGATATTACCATTTGCATGTGCTTTAGGATAACTATCTCCTTCTTGGTATCATGACTACTTAAAATTTTCGTCTTAAGGGGTGTCAATCAAGTGCGGGTACCGGATTGTTTCTGAGAGATCGGTGTCTGTTTTGAGGTTCAGTTTCGATTGGTGGGATGTTTAGTTCACGCTTGCCAAGTGCTCTTTTTCGTTTTTTTGATCTGGTGCAGCGATTTTTGGTGTGTATGTTTTTTGTAGGTTAGTTTTTGGTTGGTTGTGTTGTTGGGTGTTTTGTTGTTTTTTTTTGTTGTGGATATTTCTTTCTTCATTTTTTCGCGGGCGGCATAAAAATAAAAGGCGTTACCTTTAAAAAGAAGCATTCTAAGCTATCCGAGTTGCGAATATGTGTTTTATCTTGGTTTCATTTGGAGTGTTTGCATTTTCTGTGCTTTTGTGTATGGGTTATTGGTGATGGTGATGGATGTTAGGTACATTTCTTTGGATTTGTGTTTGAGATTATTTTTTAGGTTTTGATTTTTTTTAGTTGTTTAGTGGGATTTAGTTTTTATATAAGATTTAATCAAATTTGGTGTTTAGAAAATTTTTGGTTTAGCTTCATTTTGGGAATAGCTGTTTGCTTATTTACTTTTTCAAAATATTTTGTTTGGGTTTGGTGCAAAATACAAAAGTGGTGTTTGTTTTAGTTTCAATAAAGTGATTTTTTAGATTTAGCTAATATAATATATTCGTTCCCAAAATGTAAGTCATTTTTTAGTGTTCATTTTGTGTTGTGTGCGTTAACTTATCTTGTTAGTTATCATGTATTGTTTAAAAAAAAATTGTGGAGGTATTTTTCTTTTCTGTATATTTAATTATTATCTGAATCGTGATGTTTTTAAAAAAAGAGGTAAAGAGGGGTTTAAATGCATAGTTAGTGTTGCGTTGTCATTGTTTATGGGTAGCTTTTTTATTAGGTTTAAGGTGTAGTGACGATTATTTTAAATTAATTGGTATATAATGGGTATATTATTTTTAATATTTATCTTGATATATTAGTATTTTTTATATGAGTGAAATATTAAAAGCATCTTTTGATACGAGTTGTGAGATCTTAACGATATATTTAGAGATAGACTAGGGTGATATATGCATAATATTGATTATTAAAATTTTATAGTTATTTAGATTATTGGTATATTAGATTTCATTAGAAATGAGAATTATATTCTTTCGCATATAAACTTCCTAGAATTTTTTGGAAGGTATTGGAATAAAGTAGTTTGCTATTGTAGGTTTTTTAGATTACTCCTATTTTTTTTACGATTTGGGATGAATATTTATTTGATATATATATCTAGGTGATAGTTGTTTATTTTATATATATTTGGTTAATGGTAGTATTGTTATGGTTATGCATGTTGAACAGTGCTATCTAAATAGATTAGGATTCCTTATCAGGCAGCGATCTTTGGAGGGCAGAGATTTAAAGTTGGTTGGTGAAGCTTTAAGAATTAAAATTAGGGAGAACCATTCCAACCACTCTGATTTTATTGCGAAACTTTACAGTTTCTAATTCTTGAGCGTTCATTGGTTAACACGATTACCCAATGAGCACAAAATCGAACTACAATCCGAGTCTGCAGATGAGGTCGCATAATCAAATATACTCAAGAGCAGCTTTTGGAAGTGATCAAGTACAGCAATTTGGTTATCCAAATCGATCTTTTTCATATTCGATTGGTCATTTCTTGTATATTTTGTCGATATCGTATGGGTGCGGGGGTCTTCGATCGATGATTTGAGATCTTAACGAGCCCAAATCATTTCAGGAATATTCTTAAGAATATTAAGTTAACAGTCAAGATATTGCCATTGTGAAGCGGTGTGCATGGATGCGTAGTTGTGAAATCGATAGACCTCGGATGGTTTGGTGTGGGTGGTTGTGGGTCATCTGTCCTCAGTTTTTCGGATTTGTTGATCCACTCCAAAGTATCTCCTGTGATGTTTTGACTGTATGGTACATTAGAGTCATTGGCCACTTGGGTTTCTAGAGGAATTCTATTAAATAATGGGAACGCTATTTGCCATTTTCCTCTTGAGAAAGTGAGATGGAAGAGTGCAAGAGTAGAGAGAGTAAGGGAGAGTATATGTGAAGAGTAATGGAAGCTCCAGGGCGTCCGCCGTTAGTCTCCTCTCAGACACCGCTTCGAGGGCCACCATATTGGGACACGCGTTTGTTGGTTTGGGGGTTCTGCCGGGGGTTAGTACTTATCCGACCTTTGTCGATGGGGAACGTTCGGTGATTTTTCAGGTGCCTTGCAATCTCATTTTGTTTTGTCGGGTCGAGTTAGGTTCTGCCAACCAACCTAAGGGAAGGCATCCGGTGGAGCTCGGTGAGGACAGGTACGGCTTGCGTGCCGAGGTTCATATCTGAACCACAACGCGTTAGACAGTGCGGCATTTCTGGAACGTGCGGATGTGTCCACCATCAAAGCCGGAGTGCCCCTTGATGCTGACATTGCCACGCAATACCACCATTAACACCGAATGTCGCCGGACCACCACTGAGGTCCGAACTTCTCCCGGACTTACACACCTGACGCCAGAAGTTCTGCCGGAAGTACCGTCCTCTTAGAACGATCTTCCGACCTCCCACGCAAGACAAAAAGTCTTTTGCGCTCGACTTATAAGTGAACGTCAGCCAAGACCTTCTCAAGGAAGGGTCTCATTTGTAATATCAACTGTAAATACTTATGGATTCATTTAAGACTGGGTTAAGCCCATGATTTTTCCCTTTTTCAGGTTTCCACATAAAAACTATGGTGTCTCATATGTTAAACTACATCCCTCTTCTTTTTCTGCTTGTGTTCTGGATCTTCGTACAAAGCTATGACGTTATATTTTATATTTCTCTACCGCAACGAATATTCTAGGACGCAACATATATATATATATATATATATAACTAATGACATATTAATAAAAATGGAAGTAAATTCATAAATTTAAATTAGTTTATATCAATAAAATGTTAAACAAAATCGTACATTTGTTAAAATCAAATTATTAAATAAATAATAGCTCAAATCCAATAAAACTGAAAAAAAATCCAATAAAACTGCCCTATTTAGGTATTTTATTCAGTGAACGTACGCTCCTCTACGTTCGGATCTAGGCAAAAAAAGAGCAATACCGAGTACCGAGTTGTACCAAGTTTTTTAAAAAAACTAGGTATTGCGCTATTTTGATCTAAGATCGAACGTAGAGGAGCGTACGTTCACTGGATGTAAATATGTAATAAAAGTTCCCTATTTAGTGTATCGTATATAAAATTATAAAAAATATGATTTTCCAACACGATGTGAAGGACCAAGTCACGATAAAGTAAATATTATTACCCGCAATAGTTCATAAAGACTTTAGCGCCTCTCTCTCTCTTCTTTTATTAATGAAGTGAGCGATGAGCTTTGTCCATAGGATGATTGAGGTGGCTCCTTCGAGTAAGCATTTTTTCTGGAGAAATTAACCATGAAGTGTAGCTATCATTCTCTTATTTTATTTTTGCCTCGGTCTGCTGGACGGCAGCGATCTAGTTGATTTAGTATTTTTTTTTTTTCATGGATGAAATCGCCCCTTTTTCAGTGATCTCCCTTCGTTTCCTAGGTATTTTTATGTCGAATCGTTATCTGCATCTTGTTTGCCATAAATGGATGATGGATGCAGCGAAAAGACTGGATCTTGTTGAATGTTTGTTTTGAGAAATTTGAATGAGTTGGGTGTTTATGGTGTTTCGGGAACCAGGATGTTGAAAGATCGGATTTATTTTTGCATTTCCTTTGTTCGTTGAAGTGATAGGAAAAAAAAAGAAGATTAGGTATATATTTCAGCTATCTGTTTATTCTATTCTCTAGCTTACTTTTTCCGCTATTTAATTTTCCCTTTTGGTGCGGATATTTGATTCTTATGCATTGGTGTTTTATTTTGTTTGAGCTCTAGGTCAGTTTCATAAGTGCAAATTGAAAGACTCTAGGTGGATCTATATGGATTTGGCTGGTTATTTATGGCCTTTCAATTTGTTTGTTCATCTTAGTCTACTTAAAATGCTTTTGTTATAATTCTTATGATGCAAAAACTAAAATAGTTATAATGTAAGTATAAGCCCATGTTATTTTATGATTTTTTTTCCAATTAATGCATTGTTGCATAGTTGTCCTGAAGAATATATCAAGAAAATTACATAAAATTGTGCTGGTGATGTTCCATTTTTAATAGGATGTTTGATTTAGTTGTAGCTGTTGACCAGTTTCTTAAATGCAACTAGAAAATCTATTCCAGTTTATTTATGGGTAGCAATTTTTTAAGATTTGATTTTGCCATTTAAGGCATAGAAGAAGAAAAATTGATGGTGGATCTCTATAGGAATCCTTCAATTTTGCAACTTGAGTTCTGAATTTTTAGCAAAGAGGAGTCATTTCCTTGGGAATAATGGAATTGAAGTGTTGCTTTTTGATGTATGGTTTGTTATTTATGGATTAATTATTCTGTGCGGACGCCGAACGTTGTTCGGAAATCAAATAGAATGCGCCACGTCACCCCTGTGCTCGGTACTGCGGCTGACGCATTCTGGTTGGTCTTCTGATGACGTTCTGTGTCCGGACTCGCACATATTAATTTCTCGTTATTTATAGTTCTTTACTAGGGCATTCGTATTGTAAGATGGACCTGAATTAGTTGTTGCAGAGTGTCATTAATGTAGGAACTTTCTAGAGTTAATCAGGCTTTCAAAACTTCTTTGCTGGTTTAATTTACGCTGCACAACTTAGCAATATTTGAGATTGGGTAAAATTGGACAGTTTTCTTTATATCTTATTATTTATTTTTCGGTCAAAGGGTTTGTTTTCTGACAGATGGCCGTACTACTTAAGCTAGAAAATTTATTTCCAGATGGACATATTGTTGGTGTTAGCATCCAGGATAAGTTTACTGCAAAATAAAAAAAAGGGCAATCCGTTCATTATAATGGTTGAATGAAAATTTATGTCAATAGAGGCTACGAAGTTTGGTGAATACTCATGAGCTGTAATTCAGCGCTGGTTTTTTCAACTGCAAACCTTTGTATTTCATATTATAAAAGCCATTTATTTGCTGCACAAATAAATTTTTTGATAGCCTTCTTTCCCTTTTCTCATTCTTATGATTGTCTTTATCCATTTTTTCCATGATTGATAATGTAAGCTTTTCATGCTTATTTACTACAGAAGTCAACAGATTAACCTTGCTTATGTGAGTAAAAGTAGCTGCAGATAGGGTTCTTGTGTCAGTAATGCAGATTTGATGGACAATAGAGGTGTGATAATGAGAAACTTAGCAGGAGAAGCATATATTAATGATATAAAATCTCCTCAGCATTACCTGAGGGCTCTCGCAAGTCGCAAGTCCCTGTCCTGATTTTTGCAAATGTGGAAAGATGTACGATTCCATCTTGCTAAAAAGTATGGAGTTCTAGCACACTTAACCCGCTTACAATCCCGGATGAAAATTGCAGCCCAAAAAAGTTGGCACTGCACAAGTTAGACACAAAGGAGAGGACTGTGGGTTGAAGAGACTCTCTCTCTCTCTCTCAAAAAAGGAGAATTCTTCCTAGTGTTAAGTAGTTAACAATATGCATCAGGTGATTCATTGAATGTAAATCTGAGGAATCTGCGAACATGAATCGCGGGACGCCATTGTCCTTCCTGAAAAATGTCATAGTTTCTGAGCAGGATGGTTCCTTTCTTGAAGATGGATCAGAGGAGAAATCTGAACTAATGGTGCCTGAGGCTATATCATCAACTTTCTATGAAAACACTATCTCCATTGATGATGTGCCCTGGGCTTGGTCAGATGGGTTTTCTGAAGGGTCTGCAGTCATGGAGCTTGAATCCTCTATATCTGCAGTAGAGAGCATGGCACCTACCCCGATTTCACATGATCATAATATAGAGGGATCCTCTATGGAATTTGAAGTTACACCACGGAAAATGATATCGTTAGTTTCTGATAAACTTATAAATCAAGTAGAAGAGTCATCCAATAGATTAAGAAGCATAAAGCAAGAAGCAAGGCGGAAGAGCATGGCATCTTCCATGGCCAATTTATCAAAGGAACAGAAGCAGCTGGATGGTTTGAAGGTAGATGTGAAGCAAAAGAGAGAGGTTCCAATGTTGAGGTCTTCGCTGCCCGTGAAAACCAGTCTTCTCGGTACAGTCAAGGCCAAGCAGAAAGTTGATGCAGCTGTGGAACCCAGCATTACAAAAGAAAAATCTGGAAAATTAGATAGAACTGCTAAATTTGTTAAGCCAAAACAGGCTGGTATGGTGCCTGACAAAGGACCACGTACATCTTTATCTCCCATAATAATCAAGAAAAAGACTTTGTCACCTCCGAAGAGGATCCAGTTATCCCCAAAGGCATCACTTGTACTGAAAACCAAATCTTCAGCGGTAAAATACAGGTCAACTATGTCAGATTTAGGGAGAATCACAGGTCAAAGTAGCCAGGAGAGCAGCAAGATTGCCAGGAATGTTGGCATGCCTAAGTTGGGAGGCGAGAAGATTTTGAAGCAATTTGAAGAACCTCAGTGCCCCATGTCAACTGTTAATAATGCTCCGGGATTGAATAATTCTATGAAGTTGAGATCAGTAAAGAATCAAGTGGAAGCTGGAAACGTGGATGGGGTGAAGGAGAAAACACTGCATGTAATTGAGCAGACACTCGTTGGTGTAGCTCAAAAGTCTTCAGAACAAAATCACATAAAACTGAGATCTCAACAGTCATCAGGAACCTTCTCTACCGGGTCTTCAATATCATCTTCAGCATTTCTCTCATCAAGTTATGAAGACGAGAGTGATGGATCTCGGTTGACAATTAGTGACGCTAGTGGATCCAAGAAGACTCATACTGGTGAGAGAAAAGGGAGAACCCCACTTCATGGAGTTGAGCAGAAACTCAAAACTCCAAAGTCTGCAGAACAAAAGTGCACAAAGCTGAGATCTCAGCAGTCATCAAGAACCTTCTCTTCCAGGTCTTCAATATCTTCATCAGCATTCATCTCATCAGGTTATGAGGAAGAGAACGATAGATCTCGGTTGACAATAAACGATGCAAGTGGATCGGAGAAGCCTCATATTGGTGAGAGAAAAGGGAGAACACAGCTTCAAGTTGAGCAGAAACTCTTCAGTGTAGAACAGAATCACACAAAGCTGAGATCTCAGTTGTCATCAAGAACCCATTCTTCTACGTCTTCAATATCATCTTCAAATGATGAATCTCAGTTGACAGTAAGCGATGCTAGTGGCTCAAAGAAGTCTCAGATTGGTGAAGAAAATGGGACAACACCGCTTTACTCTCTAAATAGTGACTACAAAGAAATACAGAAAAGAACAGAAAATATTAGCCTGGAAGATGAATCATTGTTGCTTGAGAAGATGTCATTTAGTAGAGGGAAGAAAATTAGTCCCCAGAGAGAGATTCCTGACCACAGGAGGCTCACATTAATGCAAGAAAAAGCAGTGGCCGAGGCCAAGAATTTTGAAGTTCAAGCAGGAATGAGTAGCTTTAGGGAGAGTAGAGAGTCTCCTACAGTTGGGCTGAGGCACCAGGATATGCAGGAAAAGAATACAGAGGCTTTGTTTAATGATGTAAGTGAAGAAGCTGGAAAGAAGCTGGTGGAAACTAGGAAGAGCAAGGTAAAGGCTCTGGTTAGTGCTTTCGAAAGTATCATCTCTCTCCAGGAGAGAACTGTTTAGTGAGTATTAACTGTTTTATCTATTGACTGAAAATCTGAAATTACTTCTGCATTTAGTTCCTGTGTTTGGACTTCCCAAAGTATATCTATGTCATATAGGCTATGTTAAGAAGCTTTTGTTCCATAAGCAAAGAGGAATAAATTTTCCCTAGTGCTTTCAACACACTAGCTTGTTTTAACATGTTGAACTAATAATGATTCCCTAGCCAAGATATTTTCATTTACAAGAACTTAGATATATGTGAGACATTGTTTTCTATCTACAACAATCCAACAATTAATGGACAATAGTATTTCATTTTTGCTGTGTAGTTAATTATGAATTCCAGAGTTAAAGATTGATTTTTAAATTTATTTCTTTTCTTGATAGGAGTTTTTTTTTGCCTATTTATGTTTGTATACTTTCTTTTTACATAGACCAAAGAAATAAAATTCAGTAAGAATAAAATATGTATTTCAATGTTTTATTATTCTTATTGTAATCCTTTTCAACTAATCTTGATTTTGGAAAATATATAAAAAAAATCAATTTATAATCAATGATTTTAAAAGTGCCCGTCATGTGACTTCAATTGTTTGGAAGCATACATTATCAATCTATTATACTATATTAGAACACATCTCAAACCTTTTAGTGAAGCATCATTGAATACATGAAATCCTTTTATATCAGAAGAAAGAGTCAAAACTGGAGCAGAAGTCAAACAATTCTTGGTTGCACACTCAAGTGACCAAATAAAATCTACTGAATTCTGAGTTAGTCTTGTTAGAGATGCAGAAATCTGAGAAATTTTTTTCACGAACTTTTGGTAATATGCCATATACAAAGAACTGCATATCTCAAACACAGTAGTAGGCCTCAGCCACTCAGTGACCGCCTGAACTTTCTGTGGGTCTACAGAGATACTAGCGCTACTCACTACGTGCCCATAAAAGCAACTCTTCAGCATGAACTTGTATTTAGAGAATTTTGTATATAGCTGATACTGATTCAAAGTCTCCAAAATAATTTTCAAATGTTTGTCATGATCTTCCACAGAAGTAAAATATACCAAAATGTGTAAATATAAAACAATAACAAATTGATCTAGAAAATCTATGAGCAATCTATTCATTAGATTCATAAAGATGGCTGATGCATTCGTCATGCCAAATAGCATGACTAAGAACTCATAGTATACGCACCGAGTACTGAAAGTTGTTTTCATCACATCAGTCTCCCTCGCCTTCACCTGATGGTAGCCAGATCATAATTCAATCTTCAAATAGATCTTCAATCCATGATAGATGATACTTGTTCTTATTAGTAACTTTATTTAACTCATTGTAGCGAATGCACATATGCATCGTACGATCTTTTTTTTTTCCATCACAAATAGAATAGGTGCTCTCCACAGAGATATACTAAGATGAACAAATCCACTATCAATTAACTCCTGAAGCTCCTTAGGTGCCATCCTATACGGAACCTTAAAAATTGGGGTCATACCCATACAAATATCAATATAGAACTCTATGTATCTATACAGAGGCAAACTAATTCACTTCTCAGGAAATACATCATAAATTTCTGGGACATCAGAAAGAAGACTAAAATTTATACTCTGGATTTAGTAAATCCATGATTTAAAATAAAAAGAGGGAAAAGGAGGATTTAACTTATTGTGATATTTAACAATTCCCTAAGTACTGTTTGGCCGGATTTAGCATAAATCCTGCACAAATCTTGTATATATCTTGTATCCGAGCTGTTTGACAAAAGTAGAGTTTAACTTTAATAAGATTTAGCAAATCCTATAAATCCAAGATTTAATAAATCCTATAAATTCAAGATTTAATAAATCCTTTAAATCTAGAAAACGGTTTGGCAAAATAGTTGTTTAAATCCTATGAAATTGTTTGGTAACATAATCCAAGATTTAGGATGGATGGTTCATTTAAAATTTAAATTTAATATGGTATAATTTTAATTTCTTATTAAGTACAAGTTAATTATTAATTTTAATTATGTTAAACAAGTTATAATGATAAATAATTTAATTAAAAATTAGCTTAATTTTTTAATAATTTAATTACTAAATATAGTATTATTTAGTAGATTAATTATTTAGGTATTAATTTAATAAGTATTTGATATCTAATTACATTAATAATTATCTAATTAATTAGTTAATTTGTAAAATAACTAATTGTTTAACTAATAAGTATTTTTAATTATTTTATCAATCATTTAAATATTTTGATACTAATTAATTATTTAATTACTATTTATAATGTAATATTATAATTATTTTTATTTGAAATTATATTAATTAAATATTTATTTTAATATTTAATTACGAATTAAATAATTAATCTAAGGTTTGATTTCATCTTCTCCATTTTGCTTTTTTCTTCGTTGCCATTTCTTCGTGCCTGCTAAAACAAGCTTCTTCGCCTCCTTCGACGACGTGGGATCGGAACTCTGGCTCGCTGCAAAGTAACCATCTTTATACCTTTCGCGCGCTTCTTCGGCTAAATCACATAAATCCGCCGAACTACAGATTTAGTAAATCCGAGATTTACGGATAAAAGAGGGAAACGGGGGATTTATTCTGCCGTGAGATTTACGGGACCCTCAAATCCCATTTGGCAGGATTTAGCATAAATCCAGCTCACATCTTGCATAAATCCTGTTGCCAAACAGCCCCGTAGGGTGAGCTCGACTTGGCTCGCTGGAGTTACAACGGGCTCAAGCTCGGCTCACTGGAGAAGGAAGTGAGGACACGCCTAGTCGCCAGAGTTACAACGGCTTGAGCTCAACTCGTTAGCTTGGCTTGTCGGAGGTGGTCACCAACTCGTGGGCTTTGCTCGCCAGAGAAAGGAGGAAGCGAGGACAACTGGTCGCCGGAGTTACCCCGCGTTCGAACTCGGGAACTTGGGAGAGGATTGATGAGCTCTCGGCTTGTTGGAGAAGAAGCGCTGTTGAAGAAGTGCAGCTGCTCACTTTGATTTATTGTTTGAGAATTTTATCTATCAAAAAAGAGTTTTTGAATTTTTCTTATCTTTATGATACTTGTGTATGAGTTTGCACCTAAATATCCCAAAAAAACAAACATCTGGCAGCTGCTTTAATTAGATTAAATGAAATTGATTTTTTGTATTTTTCGGTTTTTCCCTGCTGCATTTAGAAGAGAACACAATTTTTATTTTTTCAATGTATATAACTCACTAAAGATGATGAGCGTCTACTCCTAAATATAATGCTATATATGTTCCTAAATATTTGTCTAAGAGTCAACGAGTTGAGTCTCAACAAATTTGAACTCGAGCTCGATGCTTGAAAATAAAAAAAATATTTACAAAGACATGAGCTTCCCAAGATATCTACATCTCTACCTCAACCATTCGCTTTAGGTGGCATTGCCATGAAATTAAACCTTGATTTTAATTGTGGTGTTATTTTTATTTCTATTTGAGAAGTCAAGAGACTAACTTAAACCTTCTGCACAATATGGGACAATTATTCTCCCACACCCAATAAATAATCCAGTTACATTTTGTTCTTTTTCTTGAAGTATTTCCTTGATTTACTTCAAGGAACATTGATGCTTGAATTTGAGCTCGTGAAAACTCCAATAATGTTTTGTTTGAGATAGCTTTTTTACTGCTTTCTAAAGCATAATTATAATACGATAGTTTTAGTTTAAGAAAATTTTGTACTAGAAAGCTGCTTCAAAAATCAGTAAGAAAACTGCCCCAAAAGAAAATATTAGTGGTAATGGAACACATGATAAAAGTAGATGTCAACGCCATGTGGGAAAACTCATATAACTTTTTCTTATTTAGCTTGATATTATATTCCTTGCTAGTGTTATGAGTCGATACTTGGATAACTCTACTAAAGTCCACATAATAGTTATTTACCTCATTCAAAAGTATCTCAGAATGACACTAGGAGAAGGTATGTTATATAAAAAATAAGAAAATAAAAAAATTTTAGATGTTAATTGGGCTGGAGACACATAAGATCAAAGTTCTACCTTCTGTTATTTTGCTTTTATATGGGAAAACCTGATTACATGGAGAAGAAATAAATAATTTCTAGTCTTAAGTAGTGTTGAAGCTGAATATAAGATAGTGATACTTGATATTTATGAAGATATGCTATTAAAAAAATTGTTAGAAGTACTAAACTATCATGTAAAAAATTCTCTAAAAGTGTACTGTGACAATCAGGCTGCCATAAGTATTGCAAAAAATCATGTCCACCATTATAGGACTAACATATTTAGACATCAAAATTTCATTTCAGGAAAAACTGAAAATAGACTAGGCAAATTAAGATTTCGTTTGGGATGACTTTTTTATTTCTTCTTAAAATAGAGTTTTAGTACAAAAAATTGGTTATCCTGCACCTTTCCTAAAAGATAATTTTAAAACTATTGTTTGAGAAAACAGAGGTTTCAAATGGAGAAGTAAATACTATAAAGCTTTTGAAAACAGTACAAAAATACAGTTTTCTAAAAAGCATTTTTGCAAAAGTGTCACAAACAAAAAAAAAAAAGAATTTTTACATACATAACACCTAAAACTATTGAAAATACATATTTAACACCTAAATTTCTATATTCCGCCATTTTTAAACAAAAAAGGGAAAAAAATGCCCAAACAAACGAGGCCTAAGGCTCGTTTGAAACAGCTTTTTGACTACTTTTTAAAGCAGTTTTTTAGTTCAAAAAATTATTAAACTAAAAATTTTGTACTAAAAATTTTCTTTAGAGAGTAACAAAAAAATTTTCCCAAACGAAGCCTAAATTATATTCTAACAAATTCTCAAATTACAAATATCCTCACAAAGTTCTTACCCACAATGAGTTTTGATAAATTGATCAATAAGCTTGGCATGATCAACCAAATTAAATTAAGTTCACTTAAGGCTGAGTATTGAATTAATAATAAAGTTGTGATTAGCAAATTTCCATCTACAACAACCTGACAATCAATGGACTACAATTTTTCATGTACAATAATCTAACAATACATGGATAGCAACATTCCATTGTGTATTTAATTCTAGATTAAACATTAATTTTCATATTTATTTCTTTCAGTGATAATTATTTTTTTATCTATTTATGTACTTCTTATTTTATTTTTTTGTAAAGAACAATAGAATACAATTTAGTCATATAATTTCTTATTTCCTACTCTCTTGATTAAATTTTTTTTAACTAAAAATCTGCTTTAAAAAGCAACAAAAAAACCAGCCAAAAAAAGCCTCTGCCACCTCTATGCAGCAGGCATAGGGGCAGTTCTTTGGTGTTTAATTCGTTTACCTGGAATTTTGTCTCGGTGCTTATTCTTAGCAGTTGGATTGAATCGACCATCTTGTAAAAAAATTGCTGCTTTCTTTACAAAATATGCTTCGTATGATCTGCTTTCCTTCAGGTTTCAATCAATTTTATACTGACTAACTTTATATTTTCCAGTTGAATGCATAAACAGGCTCTTACTCTCTCATTGCTCTCTTTGTTCCTTGATCAGATCACGCAATTCATATTTCATAGTATTAGTCATGCAAACCAGACAAATAACTGGCAAATATACTGTATCAGTTCTTGTATTCATTAGCGGCTAAAAACTTGCTACTATAGTGCATATAATGATACAGGCAATTCGTCATGTTTAGAGTTTATTCCATCTGTTGCTTGTGATTCAGCAACAAGTCCAAGAGGCACCAGGCACTCTCCCTGTTGACCTTATCTTTGCGGCCTTTTCTCTTATTTTCATTTCATCATTTCGCATCCTCTCTTTTGCAAGCGCTCGTGCGTTGCCAGCAATTTTGTTGATCCTTGATATCTCATTATTATAGTGTTGCCAGGCTTTGTCACGTTTGTGTTCTGGTCCTCCCTGCAATTTTCACATAACTATGAACTTCCTATGAATTAATATATTAGCAATGGGAGTAGCCAAAGGGAGTAGCAATCTGCAGGTTCTTTGTTAGTAGTTTTATAAAAGCAAGTAAACCTGACAAGGAAAACTGATAGGAAATACTTGAGTTCGCAAGTAATCCTATCGGATCTACTTGAGTTCGCAACAAACCTAACAATAATTGGTAAAAACAGCGAGAAAACGTAGAAATCTTCGTGGAAGAACAATTAAATGATAGCAATTCTTATAGAAACCAGAGGGAAACAAGAACAAATCAAAGATACAAGAGATCCTCAATTCGAGAGGAGGATTGTCTCTCCCAAATCTCTAGACAAGAGAGTCTAGAGCCCAAGTCGTCAAGAAACCTAATTCCAATAAATCAAAACATAATCTTCCCTAGTCCCTCTCATCCTCTTTAATACAAGAGTTTTTTTTTTTTTAATTTGATTTCCCTCCCAAGCCCTAGCCGCCCACTCCTATTCAAATTGAAATTAATTGGATAAGTGGGGCCCACCCCTTTGGGCGGAAAGAACAAAAAGAGGCGGACTACTTCCACCTCCTATAAACTAGCTGAGCTGGCCCTTGGGCCGGTTGGGCCGGTTCAATGTGAACTGGCACAACAGAAACTTCTGAGTAAAAATAAGATATGAGAGCCAATGCTACATTTGAAAGCTTTAGCTAATCTTGCAAGAGGATGATTAAAAGAATCATATAGTATATGTCAAGCTGAGTTTCAATAATCTTATTGGTTAACTTATCGAATTATATGTTCTCGGTTTTACGAATCATTCTTCACTATTGGTGTTGTTTCAGTGCATTTAGATTACCCTTTTACCTTAATATTTCTTTTGTATTAATTCATCCTACTGCCTAGATGAATCTTCCATACTACATTTAAAATCACCAAGTTTTTTTTTTTTTTGAACTTAACTTCTACTATAATATAACATTTTGTATTATATCCTTCTAATTTTACCACATCTCCATCTCAATATCTCATTTCACTCATGTTAGTTGTTAGTGACTTCTTTGTTGCCTCATACTTGGTACCATGCAATACTTCGATTCTGAAGCCATCCAGAGATTTTCTTGAAGTATTTAATTGAATGTTTGATGAACTCAAACTTGGGAAGGCTGAAGTTGACAAGTGGGGTATTAGTGCATGTAATGATTAGGTTTAAGAGCGATTTGATTTTTGAGCCATTTCAATGCTGATCCGTTGTATTCAAATTTTTGTTTGTAGTCGACACTTGACCTTACTAATAAAATTGGCTAGCTTGAACAAGAAAACATGAGGGAAAAACAATGAGCATGTAGAATATACGAGGAACTAAGTTATTTCTGTAAATAGTAAGAATGACATGATTAAATATATTTCTTACCCTAATATTTATAAAGTTAAAAGAACTATAGAAAATGCTACATCTAAAAAAGAGAAATAATATATGTTTTGCCAAGTATAGACTGACAAAGACACATGAAGTAGGCCTAAAGATATACCAGTGGCCATCTTCTCTTATGTGACTTAGGATGCCACTGGCAAGGGCTTGTATGGGTGATGAGTCCTTGTGGTTGAGTGCCTTGGACAAGTCCTTTTGGATGGGCATCTTTTGGTGAGTATGTGAAGGCTAGTGCCTTGGAAAACTGATAAACCCGTTGTGGCGAGTGTTGAATTTTGTAGATGGATATGACTATAAGTAGGGGGTGAACATAGTGTCACACCCAAGACCCGGAAGGTGGTATTGTGGCGAGTGCTGAGTTTTGTAGATGGATATGGCTATAAGTAGGGGGCGAACATAGTGTCAAACCCAAGGCCCGAAAGGTGGTATACCTCAACAATGCGGAGTGTGATGAATATGAAGGTCTATTTTGTATTCACCAAGAGAAAATTTTCTAAGCAAGTAATATAGACACAATACATCTATCAGTGTAAATAATAGAAGAAAATCATTTTTTTTTTCATTATAAAAAATACATATTATAATACATCATCTAAGCAGAATTACTACATGCAAAAGAAATCAGAAAGGAACACCAATAGAAATGAACTACCCAACCCTTAAAACAAACATACAAATAACCTACAATAAACTATAAAGAGATACCAAATATATGTTATAGTTTCTGTGGTAATGTTAGGGGTATCAAAATGGGTTTTTGAGTCAGGTTCGGGTCCAACCTGAGATTGACCTGGTTTCAACTCGCCTAACTCGACCCGATTAGGTATATGGGTCATAAACCTAGACCTGAACCTGACCCAAGTATAACTCAACCGACATGATTGACTCGCAGACCTGGTTGAGAACATGAGGGTGAGCACGCAAGTGCAACTAAGTGACCAGCTCGAACGCGACTAAACTTGTGCGAACGACAAGCGAGAGTGCGAGACAAGCCCATGAGATGAGGACCTGAAGCGAGCGGGGTGAGCATGATTGCGCAAGCGGCGAGTGTGAGACTAGGATGGGGACGTGGATGTGGGCTGAGGGATGGGGGACGCAGGTCGATTCCGGGTTAGCAGGTTGACCCGAACACGACCCAATTTTTAAAATGGGTTGAGAATTAAGACCCAAACCTGGCCCGTTTTTTAAATGGGTCGACCCGAACAAGTATTTTTCGAATTAGGTTCGGGTAGGTTTTTTAGGTCTGGTCTTTAGTTGACACTCCTAGGTGATGGCTAATCAAACACTTCTGTAAGACCTGCTATGAAAAAAGACAACAACGATTATAAGAAGACAAAACTGATGAAACAAAGAGAGTACCTCAGACTCCTGCTACTAGGAGATCTAACAGATTCTTAAGACCCGTACAAAAGTATTCTCCTTCCTTATATACTATCTTTTGGTAACAAATAGCGGTGAACCAGAGTAATATGATGAAGCCATTCAAGTTGATGATCCAAAGAAGTGGAAGCAAGCCATGGATGATGAGATGTGTTCACTTGAAATGAATCACACTTGGGAGTTGACAGAGCTACCATATGGCAAGAAGGTTAAGTGGGTTTATAGGCTGAAAGAAGAACCTGATGGTAGTAAATGCTACAAGGCTAGACATGTAATCAAAGGTTTCAATCGAACGAAGGAGTAGACTTCACTAAAATTTTCTCTCCCTTGGTGATGATGACTACAATTAGGGTTGTACTGATTATGGTAGCCATTAAGGATTTATATCTAGAGTAGATGAATTTAAAGACATCATTTCTTCATGGTAACCTTAATGAAGAGTTGTATATGATGCAACCTCAGGTATATGTAGTAACAAGAAATAAAGATCTGGTGTGTAGGCTCAGCAGGAGTTTATACAGGCTGAAGCAGGCACCAAAGAGATTTGACAGGTTTATTTCAGGTAATAGGTACACAAAGTGCCAAGCAAACCACTGTTGTTTTTTCAAACATTTTGATAACTGTTATGTTATTCTGCTTTTATATGTGGATGACATGCTGGTTCCAGATTCAGATATGAAGAAAATAAGATATTCGAAAGAACAGTTATCAAATGAGTTTGAAATGAAAGATCTGGGTCCAACAAAAAAATTATTGGTATGAGAATTAGTAGAGATAGAAGTACATGTATACTAAAGTTGTCTTAGGAAGAGTATGTTGAAAAAGTGCTTTAGAGATTCAACATGGGTGAGGAATAGCCAGTTTGCACTCACTTGGGTACTCACTTTCAGTTATCCAAGGAACAATCGCCTAAATATGAAGCAGAGGAAGAACAAATGAAGAAGATTTCATATGCTTTAGCAGTTGGAAGTTTGATGTATGCTATGATCTGCACAAGATCTGATATAATATATTCAGTGAGAGTTGTTAGCAGATTTATGAGTAACCCATGCAAACTTCATTGGGAGGTGGTTAAGTGGATTCTCAAGCACTTGAGAGGATAAGTTAACAAAGATCTTTGCTTTGGTGGTGCAGGGATTGATCTACAGGATTATGTAGATTTTGATATTGCTGGATATCTTGATGGTAGGATAAGCAGAACATGCTATATCTTCATTTTGGGAAAGACTGTAGTCAGTTGGGTTTTCAAATTATAGAAGATTGTTGCGCTCTCAACCATAGAATTGAGTATATTGCTATAACTAAGGCTAACAAGGAGATGATTTGGTTGCAAAGTTTCTTAACAGAACTTGGCAAGGGGAAAAGGAATGGGAAGTTGTATAGTGACAACATGAGTGCTATTCATCTAGCCAAGAATGCTGCATTCCATGCCAGGACGAAGCACATCCAACTTTGATATAATTTCGTCATGTCAATTTTGGAAGATGGTCATTTATCTTTGGAGAAGATACACACGACCGAGAATCCTGCAGACATGCTGATGAAGACGATGATAGTTGATAAACTGAAGCTATGTGTAGCTTTAGCTAGTGATGGGGACATCGGAGCTTGGAAAGTCTATCAGAGATGTGTCCGTCGATCTACGACCACGATTGAGTTGATGTATTTTTAAGTCATATTATGTATTTGTCTTTTATTATGTTATATTTCTATTTGCTTTTGTTATTTTTCACTTTTATCCTTTATTAAAGGGAGATCATGTGTAATCCCAAAGGGCACTATTGTCTTTTACTTTTTGAGTCTTTTGTATGAGGCTATTTATAGCCCTTATGTTTCTCTTCTCATGTTTAATGAATGATAAAATTTTTTCATTGCTTGAGTTCTTTGTGAGATCTTGAGAGTGCTTGGGAGAGAAATCCCTAGGAGAGGGAAATCGTATCACCCAGCAACCTTGGAGATGGCCGAGTTCGTAGTTTTTTCTTCTCTATCACCTTCTCCCCTCTTCCCTCCCTCAACTAGCTGCCGGCTAGAAGCTCCCACCCCCTTAGGCTGCGGCCACCATAAACTCACCTCACCTTCGGTTAAGCCAACTCCACCCACCGAGCCTACCCCTCTTCCCCCCCCAACCCCCCCACCCACGGCCAATCCACAAGCCGCCGGCCCTCCACTTAGCTTTCCCTCTATCATTGCATGCAATTACCCCTTTCCTAATTGGGTTTGATTATTTTAGGTAATTCAATTACTTTGCAAATTCAAATTTATTTGAATTTGAAAAGTTACCTAAAATATTATTCCTATTTTAGGAAAGTTTCCAAATCCCTTCCTATTTGATTTTAATTTAAATTGGGGTGAAATATCTCATACCAAATTTAATTCCCTAATTTAAGGAAGCATTAATAGCTTCCTTAAATCCCTCCCTAACCCTTATGTCGCCGGCCATCCCCTCCTCTCCACTTCAAATTTTGAAAGAAACTTCTTTCTCTCTAGTGGAGCTCTCAAGGGATCAACATTGATCTTCATCTACACATCATTCTTTCAAAGCCAATGAATGGCCGATCCGGAGCTTGACTACGGATTTTCTTACGACGTACAAGGCAATATCAACATCCTCCACTCCACCTTCTTTGATTTCAACCCGGAAGTTGATCGTTCCATTGAAGAGTACGTGGACTGCATCATCTTCACGCTTTCATAGGCCATTGATGAGCAACTTGCCAACGTCCAGTGGCAAATCATTTCAGGACCATCCCAAGGGTGAACTTCTTTCCCTTTTCATTTAATCTCCTAATCCACTAATCTTGTAGGTTGTGATCAAGTCACAAGGAGCCGTGCTTCTTCTTTTGCCTCTGCTTAGTAAACGTAGGATTGAGTGTTCTTTCTATGTTGCTATCTTATTGTTAGATTAGAGATTTTGTTGAAAACTACTTAATTCACATGTTGTTGAGATTCTAAGTTATTTTGATAATCCAAATGTTTGGCATATGATTTGGCCTAAGCGTAACTACCCCTCTTACATTTTTCTTTATTGTTGTGATTGCTAATAGTCTTAATCATAATTGTTCTTATCAAATCGTGCAAGTTTTTATCGCATACATTCAAAAGCATTGTATTCCTGCATCAGTTAGTCTTCATGGAGGATGAGAGCAGGGTTGAGACACACTACCAATACTATGATTGATGTTACAGATCAGAAGAAGGATTGATTGCAATTAGTTCGAAGTGGGAGTTTATTATGTGTGGAATTTGATTTTATTGATTAATCTGGTTGTTCTATTATCTCGCACATCAAAATTTGTCGTGTTCACGGGGGGTGAAGGGGATTTACCCCATGCTTGGGTTCTAATGTGCCCGTACAATGCCCCAGTGCTGCGTACCCGAGTGCCCCGAAGTTATGTTTCTGAGCGCCTTAGCACTGAACGACAGAGAGCAGAGCACCGTAGCGGTGTAGATATGGCGCTGCAATGGTGCAAGGACAGAGGCTTGAGCGCCGTAGCGCCCAAACTGGCGCCACAACACTGTGAGACGGACTGAATTGTTTCTTTCTCATTTTTCTGAAGGGTTGCGTCCCTTGGGGTTATTTTTGCTTGGCTTTCTCTTGTATTTTGAGTAGGGAGACATTAAGAATGGTGCATGTGAGAAGACAAGTAAGGAGAGATTGAGAGATAAGAGAGATCTGTGCTTATTTCTCCCAATTTTCATAGCGGATTTCATGGTGTGGTGTTGCTCTGTTTTTTTTTTTTTTCCCTATTTTGGATTTTTTTCATATTAAATCATGGTGTTCTTTACTTTTCCGCTGCTTCTACTTTTTTGCTTGTTTCGTCATTGTGGTGTTTTCTCCTCATCATCCCCAACACCTTACCTTGTGTTCATCTACTTATCTTTTACTTTAAATCTGAAATATAAATGGAGTTAGCTGCCTTTAAAAAATGTAAATATTGATTTTTTTTCTTTAAGATTATTGAATGGAAAAATGACTTTTGAGAAAATTTTCTACTGGAAAGTGATTAAAAATTAAGAAGTGGAGGACATGTAAGCGACTTCTTTATCATATTTAAATTTAACAAGTCAGTCAATGCAAAACCTGCTTCCTTTCCATGCGGCGTTTTGCTCTTTCCTTTTTTTCTGTCTGCCATTCTGATATCACTGACATCATCTTTTCATACCTGCAACATAGACCAGCAAGCCTTAGGCACAGAGAGTAGTCAAGCTTTAAAAAACTTAGAAGATACATTCTTTCAGGTTTATCCTGAATTAATACCTATTCTTAGCATTAATCATCTTCGCCTTCTCCCAAGCATCTGCTTGTCTTTCTATTTCATCAAGCTTATTCGAATCTTCATCCCAATTTTTATAACCAGGTGAAAATTCTGCAGGTTTTTTTGTGGATGTAGCTTTTGTTCCCACAATAGTCTCTTTTCCACTTTGAACCCTTGTGGTGACCTTTTCGGTTGGATGCTTCTTTGTGAAAGTGGGCATCTTTTTAAAAGTTGGGGAGGCATCTGATTCTTCTCCGGCATCGGTGTACCTACTACTGTACTTCTTACTTGCTGCTTTTTCAGCTTTCTCTGATTTGTGCCATATAGTGTCACCTGACACTTGAGAGTTAGATGGACCGTAGATCACAACATACACATAATATAACTACAGAAGTTTTACACACTTGATATACATGCTTTTTAATGTTGATATTGTAACTATATTATGTGCGTAATTACACTGACTTTGGGGATATTATTTTGTGCGGACACCGGAAGGTTCTCCCATCCGATTAAGCACTCGGTAGTCGGTACCGAGCTCGGTACCGACTACCGAGTGCAGTACATTTTTGGGATGACATGACGCATTTTTATTGGTCTCTGGATGCCCTTTGGACTCCGCAATGAATAATAAATCTTGACTTTGATATGGACATGCCTACATATACAAAAACTAGCACTCAAATGAAAAATGCTTGCATCAACATACAAATACTTAACTTTGCAGCCATGCACATAAAACTTATGATGGATTATTTTTCTTATAGCCTTCTTGTTGTATTGAACTATGTGGATTATTAAAAGTAAATCAAGTCGACATGTTTCCATTCTATTCAGCAGCATATGTGAGAACTGATCTTCATTGTTTCAAGTCGACCTGTTTCTAATCGAATGGTAGAGGAGGTTGCTTTGTTTGATAGAGGGGAAAAATAGGAGTAAACTTGGTTGCCAAAAGGGATATTGGGGAAGAGATAGAACCGTAGGATTTAATGGAGATGGAAAAAAATAATTTCATCGTCTCCAAAAGATATGTCAAATCATCGAGAAGAATTATCTGAAAAGTACTTGAATCCATTAAAATGCAGAATCAAGGTTTTTGATCTTTCACGTTTGAAACGTCGTTCTCCAAGAATGCGAGAAACCTCTTATTTTCAATCAAGATGGGAAACCCCTTAAACTAGGGACCATGATCCTTTTATACTTCTAGTATATTTATTTTTATTTCAGCCCATTATTAAAATAAAATAAATACTTGACATCTACACAAATAATTATTTTCAAACAAATTTAATTGAGATGCCACATAAGTAAAAAAATAATTTAATTCTTAAATAGATCTCGAATTTAATTTGCTTAATTTTAGATAGCGTCTAATGCATAATACTTATATGTATAAGTATATGAACCTACTTATAGAAGTTTCCCAACAAGAACTGCCTATTTCAAGCTTAATGGTGAATATTACAGTAGGCAGACATGCATGCTTGTTGTTTGCAAATTATTTATCTATATTTGTGTGTGGAAATTGAATAAATAAAAACTTGAAATTGAAGTTGAGAGACTGATGACAATTTGAATTGGGCATACTTTTTTATCCCTTTTCAAGCTTGAAAGAAGTACTTGTTTCTTCTCAAAGTTGAGTGAAGATCCTTAGTTACAAATTTTGTTGATTCAAATTTCACAACAAACTAACATGCTAGTCTTGGCAAAAAGATGCAACTTTGCCTAATTAAGGTTTCTTCAGTTATGGACTTTTTGTTGTTCAAGTTGGTTTATCATATACATAAAAGATGCATAATACATTTCAAATGATGAATACAGAATATGAAATGCAAATTAGAGCATATGTGCAAGATTTCTGCTTCTGTATGATTATATTGATTTTAGCTAAAATGGAAGTTAGTGAAAGAAATTAAGATGCCATGAATATTAACCTGTTTGTATCTCATCCTGCTTTGCTTCTTTACCACTGAGCCATTTAAAAGACCAACTTGTTCTAGTTGTTTTATCTTCAAGTTTGCTTTTGGTTCTGGTCAATCCTTCAACTGTTTTCTTCCGTTTCAATGAATCTTCTTCCTTTTCCAGGGTGGTGATGGCATAGGCAGTTGCTGCAACAACAATTTCATATTCCTCATCACTGAGGTTCTCCAAGTAATTCATTTGAACCGTTATTATCTTTATAAACTGTTCTGTCGTGTCGCTGCACAAGCAAATGTTAAGTTGCGTGTAAGTTTTCCCTTTAATAATCCAAGGAAATTTTAAACAAAGACAAGTTGAAATTTGAAGGTATAACAAACAGTGTAAGGTTCTATATTTCCTGTATATGCCAGGCTATTTTCTGGACATAGCCTTTTGTGAAAACTTTTGTTTATAAAATTTTGCTTTGTTGCAGGATGAGTTTCTGGATAATCATAAATCCTCTCTAACTGCTCTAATTAATGGAAATTTAATTAACTAAAATTATTTTCTAATATAATTATAAATTAATTTTCTAAGACAGTTGAATTTCTTATGACTCCTTTGAAGTTTCTTCCTACAACAATAATATCAAGCCTTTGTCCCACTACGTGGGGTCGGCTACATGAATCCTTTTTTCTCCATTGTGTTTTGTTAAAAGTCAAATTCTCGTCTAAATCTAATAAAGAAAGATCATTTCTAATATTTTCTAACTAATTTTTTTTAGGTCTACCTCTAACTTTCTTAACAAAAGTCAAATCTAATACCTATATTTTTCTAACCGGGTCATCCGCCGTTTTATGTGACCAAATCATCTAAGGTGACTCTCTCTAATATTATCTTCCACTTGAACTACTCCAACCTTTCACGTATATGCTCATTTCGTATCCTATCTTTAAGGGTAAAATCATTGAAGTTTCTTCCTAGTTGAAGAAAAATTACCACCCATTCAGTTAGCAAAATTAGCTATTAACAAACGATGACATAAATTATCTAACATCGTAATTGATTTTTTCTTATGTTTGATAATAGTTTTTACAGCTTTAGTAGTCTTTCATCATTAGATATCAAAATTTCTTTATCAGCTTAGGTGATTAACATAAGTTCTAATACCAAAATTCTGAAAGACCTACAATCATCATTTATTTTCAATCTGTGAACCTGTAGACGAATTTATCTTAGCACATTATTTGCCATAGGCTACTCGCATAGAAAGCCATATTCCAACTACAGAGGCCATGAACATAGTTTGTTTAATGCATGGTTTTGAAAACAAAATCAACTTGCTATTTCTTACTGATCTTTACCTGTTTTTACCAAGAAATTATAGAAAATACCTGTGGGAAAACTACCGTATATACATAATGCTTGAGAAGTGCAATTCTTCTGCTAAACTGTAAGAACTTTAAAACTGAATCTGCTTGTAACTTTTAGGGGATAAGATGAACAAAAGAAATCTGTTCAGGCTCAAAATTTAGTGGCATGGTCTACTTGTGATGAACAAGAAAAGAGATGAAGAGCTAAGCAAGCAAAGGTGAGATGTGCCTTCCCATACATTGCAAGTTCAAATTTGTATCTGAGAAGCTTGTGATTGAAGCAAGAGATTCTCCCTTTCCCAATTACAAAGGTTTGTGGCTTCTCTCTTTATGCTGCTTACCTTTATGCTTGTTTAGAAAGTCAAGTTTGATGCTTTTCTTTTCTATATTTTATTTGTTTGTTTGTTTGTAGTGAAGGAAAGGAAAGGAAATGAAGCTAAATCCCAATGATTTATATACAGTTATTTGAGTTTTTATACATTTTTGGATAATCCATTTACCTAAGAATTAATTGAAACAACATTATTAATATTAAATTATGAAGTAAAATGAATTTGATTACCTCAGATTCATTCAAAACTAAACCGGGCCGTTTTGTGCTCAATAAAAAGTGATGAGATTCTGTAATGGAGATTTGGCATCTGATATGAATTCCTTTACTTCTGTTCTTTTCACAATCATTTCACATATTCCTCTGCAGGTTTCAGCAAAGATGGTCAAATATTGGTGCTGGTGTTCTATGTATTCCATGCAGTAGATTTTATGCGACACTAATGTCAGAGTAAATCCAATAATTTTCGAGTCATTCCTAGAATAATTTTCACAGGATATATTGTAAAAAAAAATAAAAAATAAAATCAGGAGGGGGTTTTCATAGGAGATGCCAATGATGTGGATTGAGGAAGGCTGAAGTACTTATATATTTATAATCAATTGAGAACATATCTTATATTGTAATATCCAATTTAAACTGCTGGTTCAATTGAATCGGCCAATCTTAAACGTAAACCTGTAAGACAAGCCAACGGAACATGGACGAATCGCGACCGTTTGTGTGCGTAGACTCCCCAAACAGAGTCGGATTGAACCGTTGAGTGAAGGAACGTGTATGGGAGGAATTTTTATTAGGTTTGGACACCTGACGTAGCTCTACATCCGGACGTAAATAACATGTCGCCACGTGCTCTTACTCTTTACCGCGCGGCCCGACGACCCGACCCGGACCGGAACCCAGTATTGTTAGGTATTGCTCGGTATTGCTAGATATTGCTTGACAATAACGAGAAATACCGCTTTGTCAAGATTAATATCGAGCAATACCGAGCAATACATCGGTATTACTAGGTATTGGTCTTGACATAATGATATTTCTCGTTACCGAGTAATACCGAGCAATACCCTGGTCTGCACAAATCAACTAATACATAGCAATATCGGGTTCCGGTCCGGGTCGTCGGGCCGTGCGGTAAAGAGTAAGAGCACGTGACGACATTTTATTGGCGTCCGAATGTAGAGTTACGTCAGGTGTTCGGACCTAATAAAAATTCGTATTGGAGAGAGTGAATAAGAACACTCCTCACAGGGGCGGATTTATCATGGGGCCCTGGGGGCATGGGCCCCCACTGACTTGTTAGTTAATGTTTAATTAAATACATTTATTGCTACCTAATTACAATTAAAAATTACCGCCTCTGCGGATAGAAGGTGGATAGACAGAAAAAAAGAAGATAAATGTCACTGCTTTTTTCTTCACCGCCGTTGCTTTCTTCTTCACCGCGGATCGACGGCTTGCGACCAGACGGCGGACGGGCGAGCGGCGACTGCAGTCGGCAGTTTCTTGTGCAAAGTTCTTGTCCTTTGGGACATTTGCGGAATCAAAAGATAATATTCTTCATTTCTTCTCCTTCTGAGTTCTGATGTTATCAGGAATCAAAAGGTAATACACTAATATTCCGAAGTAGATTTCCGAAGCATATTTTCTGATGTTTTCTCAAAAGGAAGAGTTACAAAAAACCAAATCCTCACATTTTTTTCCTCTAATTTATCTGCTTTTAGTTTTGTTTGTTAAGTAAAATGTAATATATTATTTTGAGAAATATATTGCAATAATTCTGTGAGAAAACTGCAATCAGAGAATTTTTTCTCTTATTTTTCTGTTGTTTCTTTGTTAAGGTAAATGTAATACTTTTCTTTGTTTTTAAGACATTTTATGTTTGTAAAAACAACTTCTCATAAATATATCCTTTTGATGGTGTTTAAATTTGTTTCCCAGTTTTTGGAAGCATTTTTATTAACTTTACTATCATATTAATAATTAAAGCTAATCCAGGCGAAATTCTATAATTATTTCTTAGTTTTTTTCCTATTTCTTTGTTAAGCTGATTTTGTTTTGTTCTGCAATTTCCTATAGTTGTTAATGTTGTAATTTTTGCATTCAGAAACATTTCCATAAGCGAAGGATTGCGCGTGCTCCACTTCTCTGTTACATGTGTAACAGTTGAGAGTAATTTTTTTTAGTTATTTATCTTTTAACTATCATCCTTTCTTTTCACAATGACTTAATTGTACAATCGTATGAGAGATTTCTGAATGAATGATTGTTTACTTACTTATATTAAAAATGATATATTTAATAGTACTGACAATGACTTGATTGTACAATGATTTTAAAAACTGAAGACTCAACAGGAGAAATTATATATGATAGATAAGAAGAATCTCAAGATTTAGTGTTCTCAATTGTAAGTTTTTTTTTCATTATATATTTTATCCTTTTATAATGAATCTAATGATTTAAAAAAAAAATTAAAAATAACCTATGCCGGTTTCAAGCTCGGATGAAAAAAGTTGAGATTTTTTTTACTTTAATGATTTGTGCCCCGCACCACATGAAATAAATCCTGGCTCCGCCCTTGACTCCTCACTTATTTTTTCTCACTCTTGTATGATCAAATCATGTGAGAAAACTTCAATCGAGAGAGGGAAAAAAAGGAATTAAGAAATAGAGAGAAAGGAAAGAAGGGGAAGAAAGACGAGTCGAGCAAGACTGACGAGGGGGAAGTCGTGAGTAGGGCTTGAGCACGAGTAAGAAAATTTATTTAGAAATTAATAATAATCAAATTTATTTTTAAGATTAAGAACAGCTAATTAGAGAGAGTAATGAGTATGTTAAGAGATTATGATATTTAAATAAAAATATGAATTTTAATTGAAAATACTAATTAATAGAATTAATTATACAAATAATAGATTAAATGATTAGTGATAAATGATATGTTAATAATAAAAAATATTATTTAAAATATATATATATAGAGAGAGAGAATGAATATCTTAAAATTTAATTCTAATTAGTGAATTAAATAAGTAATTAGATAGGGAGAAGTAAAATTTATGTTGTATAAAGAAATATAATAATAATGAAATAGTACTTAATTATTAGATGTATAATAAATTTATGAGAGTAAAATCAATATTAAAATTAGAGAATATTTTGAGTTGGAGATAAATTAAAACGTTTATTGTAATCAACACCAATGTAGGTGTTAAGCTGGCGTTGCAGAAGTGATGATTAAATTGAATTATCAAGGTCTGATAATAAAAGTGAGTATTCAAGTTTCTTTATTTACGGTGATAATTTTATATTCTCAATTAAATATTTTGAAAGATAATGTATGCTTATGAAATCTTTATTGTTAATTAGGTCATGATTTATGTTTCTCATGCCCGATGATTAATCTTGCTGAATTAAATGAAAATTTATATATTATCTTTCACATTATTATAGAAAGTTCATGAATTTTATAAAAATGAAATAACTAGATAGATATGGTTGCATGTACGTGTTAACTAATGGAGCACACCCCTTTGGTATTGTTTGTGGATGCAATATACCCATACATGTAAATAAGAAGGTTATGGAAAAAGAAATGAAAATGAGTAGCTTCAACAATACTAAATTAGACAGCGACCTCTGTGACGATTGTATTATTTATGAGAAATGAGAAAGATATAAATATATATATGATATATATAATATATATGATTTATGCATAACATTAAAAGTCTTGATTAAACGATGTGATTAAATGTTATTATTTTATGATATGAAATAAAAAAAGAGACCATGCATATTATTCTAATTGTCTAGAGTTATTGTAGTTTAGAAACATGTTTTACTCATTGAACTATGGCTTATTTTTAGTTGCTCTAAGATTTTCAGGTATAATTTAAAATAATTAAATTGAGCAAAAGAGAAGAAAATGTGTACCGTAGACGTGACGCACCAAATGAAAGATATTTAATTCATTTTATATTAGTTTATATTTTTTTTAAAGTTTTGGTAGCTCTTTCAGTGTATTGAAAATAGATTTAGCAAATGAAAATTTAATCTATTGCCCGACCGTTTGTTCCTGCCTTATTAATTCGAGCCTCCGGGTCATGCCATGACTTATATGCTTATAAAATATTATTACTTTTGGCTGAATTATTGTATTACAACTTATTTACCTTTTTTTAATTATTCGCCAAAATAAAATATATTGTTGCATCATTACTTAACAACCAAGCCAAGGAAAATTAATTTAGGCGTTAAAGTATTTGTTGTAAGAGAGCATAAAGTATCTCCTGATCAATATCATATAATTGAGATGTTAATTATTACATGTTTATAGGATGTTAATATTTCTCATATTATCATCATCATTTGACTAAGATCTAATGAACACCATTAGCTGATCACTATTTTCTGACAATTACGTTCGATTGTAATCATCCAATTATGGTTGCCGATTCTGATTCCAAACAACGTTACCCTAATTGTAATTTCTTGTCCATTGTTGCCTGATTATGATCTCTTGATCATAGTTGTGCATCTATATCAATACACACAACTTTGTCACTGATCCCCACCACCAACATTAATGCTCACCATCATTTATAAGATTAGTGCGCGTTCCAGCATAAACTCTAACTCTTTGAAGTCACACCAAAATTCATATATAACTTCTTGATTTATGATTTTCTCATCTCAAAGGATAATGATTGAATAGATAACAAAAGTTCTCTTGTATACAATAATAATATCATAAGGCTCTCATAACTTTATCAATGGAATTCATTCTCTATAACTTTTGTTTTATTTATTATATTAATACTCTCCCAATTATAAGAAAAGATAATATTTATAACCAATGGCATATTAAGTTGAATCATTTAGCTAAACAATCTCTGTATTTTTTATCATTTTATAGGTTTTAATGTAAAATTTATTAGATCTCTTAAAACTCTTATTTTATTTTTATGTGTACTGAATTTTTGTATAATATTCACAAATTTTTTTTTTTAATTTTTTAACATTAATGTCATAATAGAATAAATATTTTGATATTAAAATATAACTAAGTTTTCTTTTCTCTCTTTGCATGTGTATATATACATAACCGATTAATTTTCGTTTGGGCCGAGCCCATCTGCTGCTATAACTAGCCCAGTAGGTCCTTATGAAAGTGCCGGTTTGCGCACTACGAGATTAGGGTTTCCACTTCTATCGACGTCGAACCAGATCTCAATAGCTGCGTTTGCGCTCTCATATCGTCTTCAATCCTTACCCAGATCCAGGTTGTCCTTCTTTTCTTACCTAGTTTTTTTATATCTTTCTGGGCTATTGGTCTGTTCGTGCCTCTCAGTTCGGCTTGTATTTTTTGCCATACAATTACAGTGATGTCTGGCAAGGAGGGGGCGCGTATCTTTGTTGGTGGCTTGTCATGGGAAACCACGGAAAGGGAGCTCGGTGCTGCGTTTAGCCGATTCGGGAAGGTATTGGACTCGCAGGTAATGATCGTGGAACTTCATGTTTATCTCGAAACGTTCATAATTTAAGTTTTATTTGTTTTTTTTAATTTAATTTAGGAGTTTCAGTTTTTTGGAGAAAGGAATTTTCACCTCTAAATTTGATAATCAAAGAGATCGAAGAGCATGCTTGATGCTCTGTTTTTTTTTATTTTTTTTTATATTTTTTTTAGGGTTGATATCACATGAATTTCATATTGGACATGCATCTAGTTGTACGATCTGGAAAAATCTATTTATTGCTGTATGTGTTGATCTATTCTCATCTGTTTGTATTTGTTTTAGGTAGTTTCACTCCATTAAATTTGATATTATTCTTAACGATATGCTCATTTCATGTGGACTTCTTTTTTAATTTCTTTCTATGGCTTGTGCTAATAAAATTGATTTTGTTTCTATTATTTGGCAAACTAGGACTATCTCCTGGGATGCTTTGGCATATTATCTCGCCCCCACAATGCTCCCCAAAAATTTCTTCGCAGGAGAGTAGTAGTCTGATACGGTTGCTTATATTTGATATTCACAAAATCTGTTTGTGCAGAAAAGCAGTTTGGAGCTGGAACTGTAAATGGACAAAGCATTTGTTTCAGTTGATATTCTTCGCATTTGTGTTAGAATTTGGGTAGATGTTACACTGTTCTATTATTATGACTTGTTGAGTTCATCTGCTTAGCTCTTTTATCTCCTGAACATGATACCTTTGAACTTATTCATGGCCAGTGATACTTGCCTGGTTATAACTTGGTGTTTGATTTTAGTGATCTGGGTTAAGTTTGAATGCCTTTTGAAAATGTTCCGCATCATTGATCTGAAGAAATTGGTATTCAATTGGAGGCTATCTAGCATCCTAATGTTGTTTTACAACACATTACATAAGATGACTTAGATTTTCTTCATAGACAACTCTACAGTTGGTTCATTTCTTTGAGATCCGCTTTCAGTGTTTCTTGGACGGACAATATTAAGTCTCTTATGAGTAGTATTGCTTTCAATAAGCAAGGGTGATAAATTCTCCATGTGATTTAACTTCCTTTAAAAAGAGTTTAAGTGTATCAACATGCGCCTGAAGATGCATCCAACTGTCACACTGTTTTATTGCTGCAGGGCTTGGAAATTGGAAGCTTCTCCTTAAGAATAATTGTTTGTTGCTATAATATGGAAGTTTCATAAGAATAATTGTTTGCTTGTTCCTTTGACTGAGATGGTTTGTTGAGGTTGGGCTATATAGCTAATTATTTGTGCCGCTGCTTGTCAGTTCAACAAGAGTCAATTTCCAATGCCATATCGACATGCTGCTTAAAGACCTACTGTGTTCAGTTTCAGTTTACTCGCATTATTATTGCAGTTTTGGTTTGCTTGGATAGCCATGAATGTATCAGATGCAAAATAAGATCACACTATATTATCTTGAGGATGACCTCAAATGGTTGTCTTCATTTTATTAGGATTACTTCTCAGAAGAGACTCAGTATTGCTTTGAATATTTGTTGGTTTTGACATTGCCGGTCTTGAATCTGAGTTTAATCCTGTCCATGTTGGAGTTTTCTGTGGTCCATGAAAGAAGATGATTTAGGTGAACTTATGCTATTAGGGTTAATATTCTTATTGGGGGCTTACCTTGTTGCCAACTTGATGTTATCATTATGTCTATTTGAAGCAGAATATTATATTCCTTGCTTATGGCTGTGGCAAAATTAACATTTTCCGCGCTGTCATTCATTAGTGATATTTGGTCTTTTGGAGCAGACTTTCTGTCAGTAGACCACTTATTAGTTTTCTGGTGTGGACCATTAGGTTTTATCAAGCCTAATCATTAGGATTCTAGATGTGTTTTGCTGTTCTGCTTGATAGTCAGCTCTATCATGTTTGGTGCTTTTTGTATGTTCATAATCAGATAACTTGTGGACCCAATATGTCTCTATGGAGCAAGTGCTAATTTATTAACTAAAATTGGGTAATGTTTCATTTGTAGAGTGCAGTGTCATTTGCTTGGTTGTAAGGTTGGTTTACAATGACTCCATTTCTTGCAAAGATTGGTTTACAGTTTTTCTTGAATCAGTCAGAGAGGCACTTTCTACTTGTTTTGGCACTAACTCCTGCTCAGGGATCTGTGATTGTTTAACAAGCCACATCAATGGTTGTGCTAAAAGTCTTTGGTGTTGATTCTTCTGCTGATTTGTACGTTTTTGATTGGTTAGGCTGTTCTGTGTGGAGAAATGAATAGAGACTAGTCATCTGATTTTTTTTCTAGTGACAGCTCATTGACTGATTTTGCTGCTAATCGGAGGTTCTGCTTGTCGTTGACAGTGTTGGCTTCTGGTTCTCTCAACTTTTTTGGCTGTTTAGTATTGAGCAATCATAATCATTATTTAATAATGCCCAAAAAATCCTTATGTTTGTCTTGTTTTTTGATGTATTCATTGTTCAATTGATGTAAGTTTCTGGTTCAGTGGTGGAGATAATTAAAGGATGAGCCATTGGAAGCAGTTGATCTTCAAATGATTCTAAATGTATTCATGGACATGATCTGTGCTTTTTGATGCTTTGAGGTGGTGCATTTTGGCATTGTGTCGACTGCTGTTAAGGGATGATTTATGAAACTGGACCGTTAATCTGATATCATTGGGTATAAGCATCCTGCTAACAAGAGCTTAATTAAGGATTGATAAAATACAAGTTTTGTGATATTCATTTTGGGGCAATAATGGTTGCAGAGATATGGGCATCATCTACTCATCTCTGAGATTTATTATACTTTTTGCCTTCCTACTGAACTGAGCTTTGCAGTTGCCATGAAATTGGTCAGTTGTTAGAATTTTCCACTTTGGGTTGCAGCTATTTTTAATCCTGGGAACAATTAATAATTTTAATTTTCATTTAACATATTCAATTTACTTGTCCTTGTTCTATTGAGTGCATCGAACATGTCTTGCTTGAAATAATTGAGTGTTCTGTTGCCTTGCTACTATGCAATTTCTTATTCCAAAGTTGCTAAGGAATAAACCTTTGAAGTTTAAGATCTGTCTTCAACTTAAAGCAATGTTTTATATTTTAAACTTTGAGGATCCCTTTTCTTATACCTTTTTAATCAACATTTTAGAATGGGAAGGACCTATGTAGTGTTATTGCAAATATGTCCAGACTGTTTTACCTGACTCTTATTCATGCTCTTATGGTTTTCTAGAACGCTTTTGCTTACCTTCCATATGCAATATTGTTCCTTCTAGTTTACAACTGTAATAAAGTACTAAATTACCCATTATAAACACATTTTTATGTTCTTTTTCATTGAAACTTTGCGGTGATGTCTCCCCCTTCTATCTTGTAAAATTTTTAGCACCATCATTGACAAGGGTTTCCAGGTTGCTTGCTATTGGTTGGGGAACTTCCATGTAGTTGTTGAATTTACTTGGGCATTCCCATACAAATCATCACTTCCACTCATTTTTGCTATTTGATCTCACAAAATTAGATTATATATTGTTGAGAGCTTCACAAATCGGCGGAAACTTGTAGCACTTGGTGATTTGTGAACGTGCTAGTGATGCTCCACTAAGACATGTAATGAAGCCTTTGGGCATTGCACCACAATGCAACATGTACATTGATCGAATTCCTTCCCCATTGTGAATTATATTTTTTTCATCCTACCATTGATTGTCTTTTATTGTTTGTATGAAATGCGTGATTTGCCAATTAAATATTAATTAAGCTCCTTTAATAGCTGTTGGACATAAGCAATAAACAAAGTACTGATTTCAGTTTGGATGTAAAGCTTACGGATCTATCTGCAGCTTTTTAAATTTATAGGAATGTAATGAAGCTAGGATGGAAAATAGAGAGCAATTTGCAATTAAAATTAGTTTGGTTATATGCAATACGAAATTTACTTTTGTACCACAGTTTGTTTTGTTTGAGTGGTACTGCTTTGATTTCATGAATGTGGTATTTGGCCTTTTGCAATCAATTAATTTGCCATGCAAAACTAGACCAGTTATTGGCTTCGTGCTAGTATTAAAAGTGATATGACGCACATCCATATATACGCTTCTCCTGTTTTATGCAAAAAGTGCACTTGAAGTGGCTTGCCCTCGCTTATTTTGATCTTTATGTGTATTTGTAGACCAGCTAGATGGAGGGTTTCTCACGCAACCTACTGGTGCTATATGCATATAAATAGTAAAACATTACGGAGATCATTCTTATCTATTGCTATTGTTTATTCTTAAATAATAATAAACTTTTCTTGGTGCTCTTAAGTGAACATACACAATATAAATTTGAGGTATTGATAGTTCCCATATTTCCCTTTAGTTGTAGAGCCAAGTTCATGGTTTTTGGGTTGTTAATGATGCCATCTCGAGCCAGTTCTCACTCAAGATTGATTTGAAGTCATTACATTTGATTTAAAGCTGAACCGATTTTCCTTGTAAATTGGTTTGATCCAATTTCGATTCAAGCCAAACATTTCTCATTACTTTCTATTCAATCTCTATTCAAGCAAAAAATTAGTTTAATTTTTATTGATTCTCAATATTGTAAGGGGTTATTTGGTCTAAATCATTATAAGTTCAATGCATTCCATTTCCCTGCATGTCAAATTTTTTTGGTTTTAAATAGATGGATGCTCAAGTAAAATTTTTAGTGGTTTGAAATTTTCCAAAACTCCAAATTTACCAGCATTTGGAAATTGCCCTAATTGATTGATTTTCAAATCCCATGCCACAGCCTCCGTGTTTGCTCGTGTTGCCTCATCTTAACTCATTTGTGTCTATTCCTATTACCTTGCCTTACCTGCTTGTGATCTCTCGCTATCTACCCTTAATTATTGTGCCCTTGCTTTCATGCTGCCCTTTGCCTTCACCTTTTAGCCTATGAACTAACACCTCATGTTACTGTGTTTGAGATTAGAGAGAAAGAGAAAGAAAGAGTAGAGAGTGTATGAACTGTATTCTCACAAGAACAAAATATTTTGGTAAAATAACGCCAATATTCCTAAAATATATGCCTTGTAGCTACTTCACAAATCTAAAATGCATGCATTTTGAAAACATCCAACGCAATAGCATTTTGTCAAATTATTAGTTCAACACGCATACATACATTCATACACCTAGATGCCTATGTGCATTAATTAAAATATGATTACATATAGAAATTTATTTGTATACACATTCATACAGGCATGCATACATATTTTGATTTGATCTTTTACAAGCTTGATCTTAATCTAGGTTTTGTTCAATTCAAATTTGATCCAAGCTGGGCTCAGCCCATTATTTGAGCTGAAAGTTGATCCAGTTTCTTAACTATCTTTTGATCTTAGAGAGCAGACTGCACAGCCATGCATGGTTTGAAACTTGGTTAAAAGCCTGAGCATGATACTGTTTCAGTTCTGACATATTTTACTTTGTTAAAAACTACTTGGTACTGTGGGTTGTTGAAGTTATTAAATGGATAGCTAGGATAAATTAACCTTCGATAAAGGAAACTAACTTAGATAAATTGAAATAGTTGCAATGTAACATTTGAGTCCTCTGGTGCAACATAACAAAAATTTTGCACCTTTATGAAGCGTTCAGTTAAAAGCTATCTTGTTACCGAGGAGTTCAGCACAAATGCTCCAAAAGTGAGGCCTCTTCATAGAAGTAAGCTAATCAGATATATTCTTTGTAAGACTTGAGGTGGCAGTAGAATTTCGGGTATGGAGCTGTATCTTCGGGGTTTGTGAGAACTCAGGTTGCTTTTATTTATTTATTATTATTTTTTTAAACCTTTGCTTATTTAAAGTAAGAACACAACAGTGTACTTGTGCATGCTTTTTCCTCTACTGTCAAATTTAGATATTGCAATCTCTTACTTCAAATTGACAACACCCATGGTCTTTTATGTTGCAATTGATTTTCTAAATATAAAATATTGATGTTTTATTCTTTATGCAAAAACATTATTTTTGAAGCACAGGTTTCTTTTTTGCATGAAAGGGTAGACTTGAATGATAATTCTATTAATATAAGTTCCCCATTTGCCTATGCTAAATATATACTTTATATCCACTTTTTACTAGGACAGAGATTCATAATGCAATACTTTTAGTATGATCAATGCAATCCTTGTCAAATTTCTTGCCTATAAATATCTGATTCTGTTATTTTGTGCTTGAGCTGGGTGAGAACTTTTGTGCCCTTTAGATTTTCTTCATTTTGTTTATTTAACTAAGAAACATTATCAAAATTTAAATAAGAAATCTAATAGCAAGTAGAAACTTAATGATTCATCATTTTCTGGTTATTGTTTAAGATAATGCATTTTCATGATAAATTTTGATATTTGGATTTGATATTATATTCATCTTTGGGTCTAAGTGAACAATTTTGTGCATAATATTTTTTAAAATACTAATTCAATCCATCTATATTAAAAATGTTTTGTAAATGAACTTTTTTTTGTTTCTTTTGACGATAATAATACTCCATGGAATTTTTATTTTGTGTTGAAATTCTTATGAACCTGCCCTGCTTTTTCTTGGATCACGCGGTCACAAGTTTGATTCATAAAATTAACTTTTTTATATTGTTGAGTAACATGCATCCCTCCCTAAATGCTGTAGACGGAAAACTCATGCATTGCATATGGCCCCATTGGGTAAAACATTTTTAAGTAGCTGAGTTTTTTAATTTGGCCAATTGCATGAGATTGTAGTCTGTTGGTCTACTTTTTGCGCCAGTGGGAAACAATTTGTCTGCTTTAGGGCCTTTTAGGATCACTCTTTTATGTTAGTTTCAACAAGATTTGTTTCTTTCTTGAAGAGATATGCGGTAAACTATGTTGGTCCTAACTATTGCATAGCATTCATAAAATTCAGCTTTCTTAAAAAAAGAAGAAGATATTATTACCACGAAAATAGCGCTTAAATTTTATAGGCGGTCCTCTTTACAAAATACCAATATACTTGTATAAATGTAGTTTTGAAATCTATAATGTGGCATTTGTCAAAAAGCATCAATAGTATGGTGAAAGTCTTATAAGCCTTGATCGATATGTTAGTTGAGACTTGAGAAAGTGTTTTAATGTTTTATTACATGATTTAAGTTTATGTACCATATACAGCATATTGAATTGGAACTTTTGGTTTAGTTGAGGTTTGGTTTTATTGAGTTAAAAAAAGTTTTAGATTTTGTTTGATTTAGGCTTCGTTTGGGAGTGCTTTCTTACTGCTTCTTAAAACACAGCTTCATTAAAAATTTTATACAAGAAAACAATTTTAAGAAATAGCAACGAAGCCGTCCAAGCCTTAGTTTTGAGTCCAGCATCTCCAGGTTATGTGATGAAAATTGCAGAGCATTTTTTCTGTTACTTTGTGCGGTAATCTTGGCCCCATCATTCATCTGCAAAAAGAGTTGGTTTTTTATGTTCCTCATGATAATATTGCTTTATAGATTATGGTGGAAAGGGATACAGGTCGGCCTCGTGGATTTGGATTCGTGACTTTTGCTGACAGACGTGCAATGGAGGATGCTATTAGTGAGATGCATAATAAAGAATTGAATGGTCGGCAAATATCAGTCAATAAGGCCGAGCCAAGGCTGGGGTCAGATGATCCAGGCTATGGTTATGGTGGTGGCGGCGGCGGCGGTTATTCTTCTGGCAGTAGGGGAGGTTATCGTGGTGGTTCTGATGATCTTCCTCCAGGTGGCCAGTCTGATTGTTTCAAGTGTGGACGCCCAGGCCATTGGGCTCGTGAATGTCCTTCTGCTGGAGCAGGTGGAGGAGGAAAGTTCTCTTCTCGTTCAAGAATTGGCAGAGGTGGTGGTGGGGCTAGTCGAGATAGATTTGGAGGTGGAGACCGTTATAGCGATCGTCACATGGATGATCGGTATGATGGAGGTCGTTATGGAGATCGAACCCGTCTTGACGGAAGAGATAGCAGCAGGTATAGCGGTGGTGGCCGCGATCGTTATGCAAGTGATCATTACCCGCCTGCTGGTGATCGCTTTTCTGGTAACAAGTATGGCAGTGGACCTGACAGATCTCTACAAGATGGATACAGCAAAGAGCGGAGCTTTGACAGGGATGGAGGCCCACGGGGTGGTGGTGACAGATATGGGACTGGGGGAGCTGCAAGATACGAGGGTGGAGGTGGCGGCGGCGGCTATCGGGAGAGGCCCGGGCCTTATGATCGACCCAGTAAAGCTGGCCGTCCATCCTATGATGATCGCTATTGAAATGTGATGGCAGTAACTTATGCAGCATTATGTGCTAGTAAAAACTGGAATGGAACATCTATCTATTTTTGTTTTTATTAGAAGACCTATCTTTTAGTATCTCCTTTGCTCTGGTAATTTAAAAAGCGTAGCCGTTTTGGATTGTTAGTAGCTGGAATTGCAGCAGATGTTGTATACTTGTAGTTTTAAGTATCTGCGAAATTTATGCGCTTTGCCATGTTGAGGTCTGCTTTTCTATGCAGAGGATAACTTCATCATTTGATAAATTTTGCTAGAACTGATTTCTTGTTATGGTTATCTGGAAAAACTGTGAAGGTTTTTGTAGTCAGAGACTCAGAGCTCTTCAAGATTTGAAGAAGTTTTTCATGCTATAGAGAAGCAGCAGATCTAAGTCCTTTTCAATGTTTTATTTGACTGAAATACAGAGAGCTTGCTGAACTTAGCTGCAGATACTGATTAGAATGCGACCTGACAGAATCGAAATCAGTGGGAAATGCTATATTCTATTAAGTGTTTGGATTTTCCGTCTGCTTTCTGTGATGGAATACTTTGTTCTCTATGAGTACTACCATATTATTATAGATTTTTTATAGAAAAAGAGATGAATCAGATATTGTGGAAGAAATACGATGAAAGATTACTTATAATAATATGTTGGGTAACCTCCAGGAAAGGTGGAGGATTCGGGGTGCGAATACTGGTCAAGATTGAGATTGAGAGCCCGATATGGATCGAGAACATGACCGATTGCCAAGGCCGAGGCCAAGGTATGAATCATTGGCAGAGGCCAAGGTATGAATCATTGGCAGGATCGAGATGCAGATCCCAATCTAGAGGAGCCCAGAAATATACCAAACAAATAGGAGAAAGAAGCCAGCTTTACTACTATGAATATTAAGCCATAACTTTTTCAAAAGCAGCCCCCGCCCCAACTAAGAGAACTTTTATTTCGTCCGGTGTAAGGATGCAGAGGAACATTTGGTTGTAGGCAAAATCGCGCCTATATCGAGGTGAAAAAACTCGGTACACCTCGGTATAGTCGCGATTTTGCCTACACAACCGGATGTTCCTCTGCATCCGGTCGGAGGATGTAATAATTGTTCCAACTAAGAAGTGAGCTTTTGGGGTTTCATTTTTAGTGTTATCTAAAAAAAAAAAAAGTAGAATCAAGAAACTGTTCATTTTTCTCGCAGAAGAAATGAAATTGAATTTGAATGCCAAGTGTAAATGGTAGCACAACAGTGGTTTGTGTTGGTGCTCTTTTTATACGTTTCAAATTATCGCGAGGGATCGAACAGATAGGTTTCGCCGGCCCTTGGAACGCCGACTCCTTATCCGATGCTCCCGGCGATCTCCGCTCCCACGAAATATTTTGATCGGGTGAAGTGCTAGGGTTATTGTGATATATTTGCGAACGGGGGTTTAGAAGAAAGCACAAATGCAGTGATCCTCTCGTCCTTTCCCACTCCGCCGCCGGTGGCCCCATCGTTTCCAACTTCTCCAGGCACCGATCGGCCCGCTTCACCCCATATCGAGAATCTTCCTCTGTTCGGCGACATCACCATCCTCGAACGGCAGTCATTCTCCTCCGCAAGCTATCGATCTGTTCCATGGCCTTCGATTTCTTCGACATCATCAAGTTCTCCGGCAAGATGGCGGCAAAGCGCGAAGCCCTCCTCGAGCTCGTCGATTTCATCCACCACCTCTCCGAGTCTGCAGGAAGTGCTTATCCATACACCAAAATCTTCCGCGAAGAAGATCCATTTCTCGATCCCACCTGTCCTCATCTACAGATCGTGTTACGTCTTCTTCTCCGACATTGATGCCAAAATCGCGAAATGGTATATTGATCAGAACGCGAATATATCAAGACAATTCTGCATCGCATCTAGGGAAAATTCATGTTGCATCGTCACTTCAGTAGAAAGGCTTAGTAACAGTTTCTACAGGTTTTTTTTCGAGACGCAGAGGTCCAGTGGGATTCTACAAGTTCTTTTCTTGAGGGAGCTTGAGGAGGTTCTGGAGGCCACTCAGGCTGCGGAGTTTTAGGGCTACATGATTTCTCTGTTTAAGCAGATTGAAGCAGCCCTCATTTTCAGGTAATGTGGGTTTTGGTTTACTTGTAGAAGTTATTTTTGTTGAATGTGTTAGGCTTCGTTTGATTGGATGTTTTTGGTGCTCATTCCATTTTAAAACGACAAATTTATTTCTTCTTTACTCTTGGTTCGTCAAATCACATTCCCAGTAACTCATTTTTTTTCATTTTTCTGCTGTTTTGAGAAAGCTTTTTCTATATGCTTCTCCGTTAGAAAACTATATTTTCTGAATCAATATTTTTTAAAACTGTCTTTTACAAAAGTAGCAAATAACCAAACGAAACCTTAATCTTACATCAGCTTGGTTTTTATTAGCCTATACGAATGCTCTTCTATTGTGAAAGTTTTCAATGGATTCCATACTTTTAGGCTTTATGGGGCTGCATTTTTTTTCTATGCATTTGTGTGTTAGAATTATAATGATTAGATGACAAATAAATGTTGTTGAGAAAAAAAAAATGGAAGGATAAAAATTGAAGGACATGAGAGGATGTTTATATGTTGAAAATGTTAATGATAGAAAAGATGCTAGGATAAAAGGGATAATGAGTTGAAAAATAATAGTATTAGTGATAGGATGATAGCTATTAATATAAATATCAATGAAGATATTATGAATGATTGTTGCTTATGAGAAATATGGGTTAAAAAAATAAGTTTGGAAATAGATGGATAATTGCAACGTCTATCTAATGGTGATTTAAATAAAGTTATAGTAAGAAAGGGTTATGAGAGAAGTCATTAGGGCTGCAAGCGAACCAAACATTCGAGGAGCCACGCGTTGTTCGGTTCGATTAAAGCTCGTTTGTGATCGTTTAATTAGCTAAACAAACAAACTTGAACAATATTTTAAATACTCGATTCTTAAATGAACAAACTTGAACACTAATGCGTTCGACTCATTTATGTTCGCGAACAACATCATTTGAAGTTCGTGAACAAGCTTTCATTAAGCTCGATAAAAGCTTGATTCGTGTTCAATTTTGAACTCGTGAATAAGCTAGATAAAAATAATTAATATTTGATCATAAATAAAATTAATAAATATAAATAATCATTGCCTTTGTTACATAGACAATTGCTTTTATTATAAATGTGTTTGTTCATAGATATAGTTAAAAAAAATTCATTAAATATGTTCGCGAACAAGCTTGATAAGCACTAAACGAACGAACATGAATTGAACATGAACCGAATATGAACACTCATTAATTTAAATGAATCAAACATGAACACAAACAATAAAGCTCGAACAAACATGAACCAAACTTGAACAAGCTGATATTAAGTGAACACAAACATGAACACTCACATACTCGGCTCAGCTCGGTTCGTTTGCAGCCCTAGAAGTCATGTTGATTGGTGGTTATGCAATATAATACATAAATGCAATAACCAACGTTATATTTGATTTCATAGTAGCTTATAACTTAAAAAAAAATGATAAAAATACTTAGGTATTTACAAAAATGGAGCCATGAAATCATAACTAAATTTCTTCCTGCTCTAAAAGAAAAAAAAAACCTTCTCAAATACAATATGTTCATTTTAAATATCAACATTGAGTCCACATACTTTCGTATTAGTTATATAGATGGCTACATGGCTTAGCATATGCTTTTGGCAAATGATATAATTTTAATTGGGGAGAGGACCACTTAAATAAGTAAAAAAATTAGAATATTTGAGAAAATATTTAAAAGAAAAATGAATTGGAATAAGTAGAACAACAATTGAATATATGATATTTAATTTTAGTAGATGTGATATTAATAATTATCATTTAATATTATTAAAAGATAATGATGAATTATTATTATCTTTAGGTGTAATAGATTTAAATATCTTGGATTGCTGAAAAGCAGTATCTGTATAACTTGAATTCTTCTTTTCTTTGGTAATGATTTGCTTTATTTTTTTAACATGATAATTCTTTTTGCAATGATATTTACTAAGAAACCTAAGCATGCATTGTCATGACACTTGTAAGAACACCACCTTATGTTTGTTAATTTCTATCAACTTCCATTCTATTATTTTGTTAGTTTTATCTTGCTTCTAGTTTCCTATAAGAATGAAACTATCTTCATCTTATTTGATTTAGCTTTGCTTATTAACTGTTAAGCTTCTGTGACTAATTTTGCAGCTTCTCTCATTCCTTTCGAAAATGACTGTCTATTTTAGAAATTCATTCATTTTTCCATCTCGCGCTAAATATTTATTGTTCTTTTTTTCCCCGGACATTTAGGTTAATTAAGAGAAACTAACACATACATCACAAATGTAAAATTCAAGCCAAAGTTCTCAACTAATAAACCAAAATGAGCTAGTTTATTGCCTATCTTTAACAGTATAATTTTGACCAAGGAAGAAAATGCACTACACAAATATAATTACGGGCCAACCTTTACCTCTTGAAAAATATACAATATTTGTAATTATTTTATTGAAATGTTTTGAGTATTTTATTATATTTTACTGACTGACCTAAATTTTTTCTTTATAAAAAGAGATGTTTCTTACCGTGACTGCCATCTTATGTTGTAGAATGCCAGCTACAGAATATAGAGATAGAAGCCAAAGCTAAGAACCTGGAAGAGCAGAGGCAAATGGCTTGGAGAAAATTGGAAGCTGTAGTAGCAGCCAACGCTGCAGCTGAAGATATGATTTTATTGTGTTAGAATGATTTAAATTCTTTTTTTCCCCCCCTAAAGATGGGATTGTTTGAAGTTTAAAATGTATGTGGTGGTCAGTTGATTGTATAGTCTATTTGATTTATTTTGAAATTAATTTAATGTATAGTTAATCAATTAAATTTTATATTATATTTATCACAAAAGAATTCAATCAGTATATAACTCTTTCTAACAAATACTGGATTGCATTCAAGAAATCTTGGTGCCAATGTTCTTGGAGAGCAAATCTACTGCAACAATTTCAGTTTTTGGTGCCAAATCTTTTAACAAAAACAATCAATAGTACACCAATTGTGAAAAAAAAAAAAAGCAGCCTTCACCGAAAACAAGCAAAATTGCTTGGTTCATCTCTTCCTTGTTCTTACAATTTAATATGGCACAACTGGTAAATCACCAGTGTTAATAAAAATTTGATATAAAACAAACATATTTTCTCTGCCGGCTCAACTATACATAGGGAACAAAACCTACTTAAACTAGCCATAAAAATTGAAATAATCATTCTTGTATTTAGTTGATTGATAGCAAATAACTATACTACCCCCAGCCATGGTAATGTAGGAATGATGCAGCAGCTGAAGCATATTTGCAGAACAAAATATAGGTTCTATAAAGAATCAAACCTTGATGTGCTGGAAGTAAAAGATGACAGAAGTCCTGCTGCTGGACCTGGAAGCATATCGCCAAATGTTGACATGGCGGCCGCTGATCTATCCTTCAGCTTACCGACTTGCCCGTCAGAAAGCATCGATCCCCATCGCGATGTACTCTCCCCGAATTTGCTTCCAACCTGGTTAGCATAATAAGAGGTTAAATTCAAGATCTAAGATGTGTTACATTGAGCATTAAAGACGAATTCTGTTTGGTTTAACTATCAGAATTTTTCCTTTCGTCTAATATAGGAGAGATTATTTGTGCGGACACTACACAAGAAGAACCGTCTGATTTTATCTCTGTAAACAGTAAAAGTTGCCGGAGAACCGTCCGGTATCCGCACAGAATAATTCATCCTACTACAGGCCTTTGCTTTACTTGTTGATTGATGTGAACTGAAAGACCAGAAAGTTTCATATGATTATAGCATTTTATTCCTTCTATTCCGCTTTGAAGTTAATGTGAAAATATGATATTTTAGAAAATTATAGACATACTCCATTTCATACATCACTTCTGTCAACAAGCTAAAATAGCATAATCATATAATATCCATGTCATTCAAAGCGAGATAAACTCTCATGTTTGCTCATTTACAGCTTTCTTCCTATTTTTAAAATATTTTTTTAGTGCAACAATTAAAAATTTTATACTATAAAGTTACTTTAAGCAGCAGTAAGAAAGCCGTCCCAAACAAGACCTAAGATACCATGGCGATCAGCTGGGGCTTTGGTTTACATGATCAATTATCTTTACAAACTAAAATTTAATTAAAACTTGCTTAAGAAGGAATATTTGACTGGACTGGTAATGAAACCATTATACGTCGGGCAGTTTTCCGTTACCTTCCAAACTTTAAGATAAAATATGCTATGAATATAAACGAGCAAGCACCAATGCTGCTTTAAAATCAAAAAATAAAAATCTTCACAGGCATTCGTGCTTTTAGTGTCATTAATGAATGATAAGTGCTGAAAAAAATGAAAACATAAATTGATTATGATGGGATTAAAGAAATATTGCTACCTGGGTCATTAAAGACTTTAGAAGTGGTGTCGCGACCCCAAAACTTAATGAATCATCAAAATCAGGCTTTGGAGACCGTTCTCCATTTGAATATGTTGACCATGGGTTCTTTGAAGATGCATCATCTATGGATGTTTGAAGTGCCGATTTATGTGACCCTCTTGATGACAGGGCGGGAGCACTGAAAGTAAAAGTTGGCAGTTATAGCACTAAAAATTTATAAAAAATAGGAAGAGGTAGGTTTATTTCATTTGTAAATGAAAATCTTACTTCAGTTGCCAAAAAATTCAATGGAAATAATGACTATCCCTGAAGATGATTATAAAACATCCAACATCTGCTCAATTAAAGCCACAGTGGCTTTCTTCCACTTATGGTAAGAGATTATCATAGTTCAACTACACCTTTATTAAGAACAATAATTTTCTTTTATATTGAGTGTCAAAGCACAAATTGTTATAGACGGTATTTTATCATAGGGCATTTTTAATAGTTTTTCAAGACTTTTAGTTGACACCACATTAATTATGTTCACAATATATATTATTAAATTTGGTTATCATACTTTATGGAAGGGAATTAATTGATCTCATATAGAATATGGGAAGGAACATTTTTACATGATCAATCATATCACTCCTGATAATAATCATGGCATTCTTATTGTCACGACCCGACCCGAGACGAGACGGATCCCGCCCGCGCTGGATCGCGACGGAGCTGCACTAACCAGGATCTAGCTTTGGAATTTGGTTCGGAACTGAATCTTCCAAATAATTAATTCACACAGACTAACAAACACAGAACTACTATGTATCATCAAATGCAGCGGAACAAAACATCTATACGATTTCATTTCCTCAAAACAATCATCTACAGAACAGTACATGGCTTTCGACAAAAAGAAAGACAGAACAGAAAAGCCATGACTGTACAAAAAAAATCAAAAGTACAAAAGTACCTATACTGATCAGACTCTGAAATCTAGTCCTGAACTTCCTTCCCTTTCCC